CAGTGAAGGGAAATCTTAATGCTACAGCATTCAATGACATTCTAGATTATTCTGTGCTTCCAACATTGTGGCAACAGTTTGGGGAAGGCCCTTTCCTGTTTCAGCATGACAATGACCCTTTGCACAAAGCGAGGTCCATACAAAAATGGTTTGTCGAGATCGGTGTGGAAGAACTTGACTGGCCTGCACAGAGCCCTGACCTCAACCCCATCGAACACCTTTGGGATGAATTGGCACACCGACTGTGAGCCAGGCCTATCGCCCAACATCAGTGCCCGACCTCACTAATGCTTGTGGCTGAATGGAAGCAAGTCGCCGCAGCAATGTTCCAACATCTAATGGAAAGCCTTCCCAGAAGAGTGGAGGCTGCTATAGCAGCAAAGGGGGGACCAACTCCATATTAATGCCCATGATTTTGGAATGAGATGTTAGACAAGCAGCTGTCCACATACTTTTGGTCATGTAGTGGATTTTCCAACCAGGCTTTTTAGATTGGTAGACAAGGGGTGTTGATGAAACCGTTGATACTGTATAATAACAAACCGTTAAAAGAGAGGGACAGAGGATGGAGAGAGAGGAGGGCAAAGGAGGAGAGGAGAGAGGGTAGATGAGAGTTGAGAGAGGACAGTAGAGGTGAGTGAAGAGGGAAAAAGAGATGGGGCAGAGGAGAGAGAGGGTAGAGAAAATAAGAGTTTTTTTTAATTTATTTTTTATGTCATTTAGCAGACGCTCTTATCCAGAGCGACTTACAGGAGCAATTAGGGTTAAGTGCCTTGCTCAAGGGCACATCGACAGATTGTTCACCTAGTCGGCTCGGGGATTAGAACCAGCGACCTTTCGGTTACTGGCACAACGCTCTTAACCACTAAGCTACCTGCCGCCATGGCAGTGAGTATTTCAATTGGTTATATTCGACTCCTCTCAAATCAAAGTTTGAGTTAAGTCTCCTTTTTCCGGGGGAGGCTGTAGGAGCCAAACAGGTGCCTACATCACATGACCACAGAAGACAAGCTGCAGCAAGTACTCAACAAAACAGAATCCTGAACTGCGATAACCCCCTCAGGTTCATTGCAAGATAAAATAGGTTTAGAAACAGACAGACGAACAGAGACAGAGACGGACTAACACAGGCAGACGGAAGAACAGACAGATGGGAAGATAGCGAGACGAAGGGAAATAAAATGTTTATTTTGCGAAATCTGGGTTTTTACATCCTGTTACAGTTCAGTAGGCTTCTCTGGATGAAATCACACATACTCATCATCATCCAAGTGTTTTCATACAGTTTTCACCCAATAACAATATTACCAATCAATGTAGAGATCAATCATTAGTTACAGCAAATTCAATTAAAAAAAAGTAACAAAACAAAAGAATATAAAGTAGCATGGTAAACATTCTGAAGTGTGTTTGTTCCTCCAAATCAGTCACAACATGGCCCCGCTAAAAACACTCTGGATGCAACTCCAATGGCACCCTATTCCCCATGTAGATGTAGTGCTACTTTTCAGGGCCCATAGAGCTCTAGTCAAAAGTAGTGCTCAATATAGGGAATAGGATGCCATTTGGGCCACATTCTCTATACTCTTAATGTTAGTTAAATTCTTCAGCTACATCTCAACAGGAGAAATGGTATATGTCCTAAATGGCACCATATTCCCTACATAGTGCACTACTTTTGACTGCACTATGTAGGGAATAGGGTGCCATTTAGGACATTTCCTTTAAATAAACTATTCGGGAATATAATTTTTTTGCTGTTAAATGCTTTGTATTGATAGTGTTTGTAATTACTCAGATTTTAAGAAAATCTCATTCAAGAAATGTATCTTTAGTGTTGTCAGAAATGGCCCAAGAATCAGTGATGGTCCATTGTTTGTATACTGTAGCAATCAGATTTAGACTGACACACAGACATGGAATAGAGAAAACAGTAGAAAAAAAAATACAGTGAAAACAGAAATAAGACTTTCAGAAAGGCATTGTATAGTTAAAAAAAATATATATATTCATACGTAATTTCTATGACTAATATTAGAAAAGCACATCTTCCTACTGTATATACAGTGAGGGGAAAAAAGTATTTGATCCCCTGCTGATTTGGTACGTTTGCCCACTGACAAAGAAATTATCAGTCTAATTTTAATGGTAGGTTTATTTGAACAGTGAGAGACAGAATAACAACAAAAAGATCAAGAAAAACACGTCAAAAACGTTATAAATTTATTTGCATTTTAATGAGGGAAATAAGTATTTGACCCCCTCTCAATCAGAAAGATTTCTGGCTCCCAGGTGTCTTTTATACAGGTAACGAGCTGAGATTAGGAGCACACTCTTAAAGGGAGTGCTCCTAATCTCAGTTTGTTACCTGTATAAAAGACACCTGTCCACAGAAGCAATCAATCAATCAGATTCCAAACTCTCCACCATGGCCAAGACCAAAGAGCTCTCCAAGGATGTCAGGGACAAGATTGTAGACTTACACAAGGCTGGAATGGGCTACAAAACCATCGCCAAGCAGCTTGGTGAGAAGGTGACAACAGTTGGTGCGATTATTCGCAAATGGAAGAAATACAAAATAACTGTCAATCTCCCTCGACCTGGGGCTCCATGAAAGATCTCACCTCGTGGAGTTGCAATGATCATGAGAACGGTGAGGAATCAGCCCAGAACTACACAGGAGGACCTTGTCAATGATCTCAAGGCAGCTGGGACCATAGTCACCAAGAAAACAATTGGTAACACACTACACCGTGAAGGACTGAAATCCTGCAGCGCCCGCAAGGTCCCCCTGCTCAAGAAAGCACATATACATGCCCTTCTGAAGTCTGCCAATGAACATCTAAATGATTCAGAGGAGAACTGGGTGAAAGTGTTGTGGTCAGATGAGACCAAAATTGAGTTCTTTGGCATCAACTCAACTCGCCGTGTTTGGAGGAGGAGGAATGCTGCCTATGACCCCAAGAACACCATCCCCACTGTCAAGGGGGGGAACATGTGCTTTGGGGGTGTTTTTCTGCTAAGGGGACAGGACAACTTCACCGCATCAAAGGGACGATGGACGGGGCCATGTACCGTCAAATCTTGGCTGAGAACCTCCTTCCCTCAGCCAGGGCATTGAAAATGGGTCGTGGATGGGTATTCCAGCATGACAATGACCCAAAACACACGGCCAAGGCAACAAAGGAGTGGCTCAAGAAGAAGCACATTACGTTCCTGGAGTGGCCTAGGCAGTCTCCAGACCTTAATCCCATAGAAAATCTGTGGAGGGAGCTGAAGGTTCGAGTTGCCAAACGTCAGCCTCGAAACCTTAATGACTTGGAGAAGATCTGCAAAGAGGAGTGGAACAAAATCCCTCCTGAGATGTGTGCAAACCTGGTGGCCAACTACAAGAAACCTCTGTGATTGCCAACAAGGGTTTTGCCACCAAGTACTAAGTCACGTTTTGCAGAGGGGTCAAATACTTATTTCCCTCATTAAAATGCAAATCAATTTATAACATTTTTGACATTAGTTTTTCTGGATTTTGTTGTTGTTATTCTGTCTCTCACAGTTCAAATAAACCTACCATTAAAATTACAGACTGATCATGTCTTTGTCAGTGGGCAAACATACAAAATCAGCAGGGGATCAAATACTTTTTTCCCTCACTGTATACTGTACCTTTTTCAACGTACCACCAAGACATCATTAACATCTTCTCTTAAAACTTCTAGAAAATATTTGTTGGTCCTGTGTGAACGATAGATTGCATGGATGGTCTAATGTCTGCATAGACTAATAGGTCCTGTCCCAAATGGCACCCTATTCCTTATATAGTGCGCTACTTTTGACCAGGGCCCATAGGCATCCTTAGACTTAGCTAGTGCTCCAGCCCTACCCTTGTCCTACTTGCCACACAGTCAATTATTCTATTCACAGTTTGGTTGCATCCAAAATGGAACCATATTCCCTTAATAGTGCACTTTTCGTAGTGTAGTATACTTTTGTAGTGCACTTGATAAGACATAGGGTGCCATTTCAGATGTACACTTTGTCAGTATCTACGTTAGTGTTGGTTGGCTGCTGAGGTTCCAGTCAGTCACTACATCCTGTAGCTGTCTCTGTACCAGAGGTTGCCATGACAACTACTGTAAACGTAAACAATAGTGGGCCAACCTATGTGGTTCTGACAGGACACCAGGCTTGAAGATGACGTAACACTTTAGGACATTGGCCATCATACATAGAGAACAGCTATTTCATTAAATAAAATGAGAAAAATATATAGATTAGTGTTTTGTTTTTAAAAGGCTAGTGTTGTCTTTTTCTTCCTTCCTCTACAAACATGGTGCTGCAACAAAGCTAATAATACAGTGGACATAAATCATTAAATTGTTTTCAACCATGTCCCCCTGGTAATCTGGCTTGGAGCTAAAAGGTCTTGTTGGGAACCACTGGTCTAAACATATATCCATCCTTAATGATTTTTTATATGTACAAATAAAATATCCATCATACACCACCAAGTAGAGAAGAAGAGGAGGGTTAGTTAGTTCTCTGTAGACTGTGTGTCCCTCTTTCCCCTGCCCCTTTGTGTCAAGTAACCTAGGTACCCAACCACCTCCAAGCCTCATTGGTTACTGAGAGCAGGCTCCCTGATGACCAACGAGGAAATCAGTGTGGATTTGATACATGATCCAAAAATAATTAAAGAGAGAAGGTAGATTTTAAGGACTAGTGGTTATACATGGCAGTGTGGCTTCCGTCCAAAATGGCCTCCTATTCCCAAATGCACTACGTAGGGTATAGGGTGCCAATTGGAACGCGGCCACACTATGGGAGATTGGTTTGGCAAGTTAGCATCTAATGTCTGAGAGTCCCGGCGGCTCTCTCTCTCTCCAACAGCAGGGTGCCCGATGGTGATGTCATCGCTGGGTTGTCTGGTAACCATGCAGAGTTAACTAGCAACGTCGTCGTCAAGGAGACACGGCGTGCATCGTCCACTCACGCACTCCTCAGACACACTCCTCAGCTGACATCAGGAGAGGGTTGATGTACTCAAACCCTTCGAACTCCGACTGATCGATCTTCTTCACTGCATCACTGCAACACAGACAGGAAACAGTTATAGGGGGGGCCATATGACTATATTGATCAGTAAGTAAATCTATTTTCATACCACCACTAACTAATCTAGTAACCTGAACAGGCATCATAAAGCATTGATTTAAAATGATCCATGAAGAATGATGGACAGACGGACAGACAGAACGACAGACTGTATGGGCCCAGGTAAAACTTACACTGAACAAAAATATAAACGCAACATGCAACAATTTCAAAGATGAGTTACAGTTCATATAAGGAAAGCACTTATTAGGCCCTAATCTATGGATTTGACATGACTGGGAATACAGATATGCATCTGTTGGTCACAGATACCTTAAAGAAAAAAGTTAGGGGCGTGAATCAGAAAACCAGTCAGTATGTGGTGTGACCACCATTTGCCCTCATGCAACGCGACACATCTCCTTCGCATAGAGTTGATCAGGCGATTGATTGTGGCCTGTGGAAAGTTGTCCCACTCCTCTTCAATGGCTGAGATTAGTTGCTAGATATTGGCAGGAACTGGAACACGCTGTCGTACAGGTCGATCCAGAGCATCCCAAACATGCTCAATTGGTGACATGTCTGGTGAGTATGCAGGCCATGGAAGAACTGGGACATTTTCAGCTTCCAGGAATTGTGTACAGATCCTTGCGACATGGGGCCGTGCATTATCATGCTGAAACACGTGGTCCTCTGTAGCTCAATTGGTAGAGCATGGCGCTTGTAACGCTAGGGTATTAGGTTCGATCCCCGGGACCACCCATACGTAAAAATGTATGCACACATGACTGTAAGTCGCTTTGGATAAAAGCGTCTGCTAAATGGCATATTATATTATATTAAATATTATTATATTATATTATGTGATAGTGGCGGATAAATGGCACGTTAATGGGCCTCAGGATCTCGTCACAGTATCTCTGTGCATTCAAATTGCCATCACTAAAATGCAATTGTGTTCACTGTCCGTAGCTTATGCCTGCCCATACCAAACCCCACGGCCACCATGGGGCACTCCATTCACAATGTTGACATCAGCAAACCGCTTGCCCACACAACTCCATACACACAGTCTGCCATCTGCCCGGTACAGTTGAAACCGGGATTCATCCGTGAAGAGCACACTTCTCCAAGTGCCAGTGGCCATCAAAGTTGAGCATTTGCCCACTGAAGTCGATTACGACGCCAACCTGCAGTCAGGTCAAGACCCTGGTGAGGACGATGAGCTTCCCTGAGACGGTTTCTGACAGTTTGTGCAGAAATTCTTCCGTTGTGCAAACCCACAGTTTCATCAGCTGTCCAGGTGGCTGGTCTCAGACGACCCTGCAGGAGAAGAAGCTGGATGAGGAGGTCCTGGGCTGGATGTGGAGGTCTGCGGTTGTGAGGCCGGTTGGATGTACTGCCAAATTCTCTAAAACGACATTGGAGGCGGCTTATGGTAGAGAAATTAACATTACATTCTTTATCAACAGCTCTGGTGGACATTCTTGCAGTCAGTATGCCAATTGCAAGCTCCCTCAAAACTTGAGACATCTGTGGCATTGTGTTGTGTGACAAAACTGCACATTTTAGAGAGGCCTTTTATTGTCCCCAGCACAAGGTGCACCTGTGTAATGATCATGCTGTTTAATCAGCTTCTTGATATGCCACACCTGTCAGGTAGATGGATTATCATGGCAAAGGAGAAATGCTCACATACAGTGAAGTAAACAAATTTGGGCACAACATTTAAAAAAAATTCTGGGATCTTTTATTTCAGCTCATGAAACATGGGCCCAACACTATACATGTTTTGTTTCTATTTTTTGTTCAGTATAGTTCGCTATATATGGTGCATTTTGGGACGCATCCTGAGACAGACAGATACTCACTCATCATCAGGCGTGAGCTGGATAGGCTCGTTGGTGAATTGGGCATCAAAGTTGTCTAGTCCAAACTCTCCTGAGATGTTGGGTTTGAACGGAGGAACCACCTGCTTCTGCTCCATCTGAAACAACACAATGCAACAAGGTCAGACACACACACACAGGATTGAGGTCAAAGAGACATCCACACATTCAGAAAGTAATCAGACTCCTTGACTTTTTCCACATTTTGTTACATTAGAGCCTTATTCTAAAATTGATTAAATATTTTTTTCCCCCTCATCAATCTACACACAATACCCCATAATGACAAAGCGAAAACAGGTTTTTAGAGATTTTTGCTAATTTATTCAAAATAAATATTCAGACCCTGCTATGAGACTCGAAATTGAGATCAGGTGCATCCTGTTTCCATTTATCATTCTTGAGATGTATCTACAAATTGATTGGAGTCCACCTGTGGTAATTTATTGGACATTATTTGGAAAGGCACACACCTGTCTATTTAAGGTCCCACAGTTGACAATGCATGTCAGAGCAAAAACCAAGCCATGAGGTCGAAGGAATTGTCCGTAGAGCTCCGAGACAGGCACAGATCTGGAGAAGGGTACCAAAAAATACTACAGCCTTGAAGGTCCCCAAGAACACTGTGGCCTCCATCATTCTTGAAATGGAATAAGATTGGAACCACCAAGACTCTTCCTAGAGCTGGCCGCCCAGCCAAACTGAGCAATCGGGGGAGAAGGGCCTTGGTAAGGGAGGTGACCAAGAACCCGATGGTCACTCTGACAGAGCTCCTCTGTGGAGATGGGAGAACCTTCCAGAAGGACAACCATCTCTGCAGCACTCCACAAATCAGGCCTTTATGGTAGAGTGGCCAGACGGAAGCCACTCCTCAGTAAAAGGCACATGACAGCCAGCTTGGAGTTTGCCAAAAGGCACCTAAAGGACTCAGACCATGAGAAACAAGATTCTCTGGACTGATGAAACCAAGATTGAACTCTTTGGCCTTAATGCCAAGCGTCACGTCTGGAGGAAACCTGGCACCATCCCTACGGTGAAGCATGGTGGTGGCAGCATCATGCTGTGGGGATGTTTTTCAGCGGCAGGGACTGGGAGACTAGTCAGGATCGAGGGAAAGATGAACGGAGCAAAGTATAGTGAGATCCTTGATGAAAACCTGCTCCAGAGCGCTCAGGACCTCAGACTGGGGCGAAGTTTCACCTTCCAACAGGACAACGGCCCTAAGCACACAGCCAAGACAACGCAGGAGTGGCTTCGGGACAAGTCTATGAATGTTCTTGAGTGGCCCAGCCAGAGCCCGGACTTGAACTCGATCGAACATCTCTGGAGAGACCTGAAAATAGCTGTGCAGCGACGCTCCCCATCCAATCTGACAGAGCTTGAGAGGATCTGCAGAGAAGAATGGGAGAAACTCCCCAAATACGACTTACAGTCAACCTAGTCCAGCAAGAACCATGTTTCAATGAAATGATCCTTATTTACAAACAAGAATTAACGTACAAATTCCCCTGAAAATAGTTTACAACCATTTTAAACCACAGAAAAAAATATTCCATGTGGTCTCTCTCTCTCTCTCTCTCTCTCTCTACTATCACCATGGCGATATTGACCATCATTCTGCTTGTCAGCATGGCTTTTGCTTTGGGAGGTAAGAGAGACATACTTCACACTCAGACTTACAAACATTTATAAAGAAATTAAACATTGCTGGGAGCTTATCTGTCTTGTTTCGCACATGTGTATTAGTCCCTCTCTCCCTCTCTCCCTCCCTCCCTGTGACTCAGTGGAAACTCCATTGTTAACTCAGACCCCAAACAGACAGGCAGCCTGCAGGGTATTGACCCAGCACTGCCACCCCTGGAGGTAGGGTAGTGCAGGGCAAGGCTGCCTGTTACGTGTGAGGTGAGACTGATGGGAGCGGGAGCCAGCTCAGCAGGGTAACATGATCCCTCCAGACAGCCAGTCAGCAGACAGGGCACACCAAACTGGGAAAAGAGGTCAGGCTGGTCTGGGACTAGATGCCTGTCTGGAGGCCAGCCTGTCTGTGTCAGGTTGGAGTCAATTCCTTTTCAATTTGCCCAGCAATAGGACAATAACACGTTTCTGAATTTGAACATTGAGGTTAGCCAAATGCTGCTTATTCTCTGGTTGTGACCCTCTGACTACAACAGAACCACTGTGACCCTGGCCACTTAGTGCTGGCTTGTATAGTCCAGGAATAGGCTTAATCTGGGTCTGGAAAACCTGCCCTTAGAGAACCGATACATCCATGGTTAAATCAAATTGGCCCGTCTGGCTGCCTGGTGGGAAAGGACACTTTCTGGGCTTGTCTAAGGTGATGACCCGCAACTCTGACAGACTGTCTGGAGGAGAGATTCACTGTGATCCGCTCTGATTGACCTTCCCTTGTTTACTAGCTTTTTGCTGTTTTCTATTAAACTATGTGGAAAGACAGTATGTGAGTAGATTTGTCTCAAGGTCCGTCGTTCACAGTGTTTAAGTTCATTTTCATTGGTGAGAATTCTGCTTCTGCTGCTATGTTTGAATGAAAACAATGATCCCCCTGTCTCTGTATATATTGGTCATGATGCTCACCTAAAGACTAGATACAGTAGGAGAGAGATCGACAGAGAGAGTTGCATTAAAGAGAGAGATAGAAGAGAGAGAGAGAGGGCAGCAAGAGATAATAGACAATGACTCACAAGGTCCCAGTCTACGTTTCGGAAGAAGGGATGACCCATGATGTCAGCAAAGCCCGTCTGGGGATGACAGCCTAGCCGCTCCTTAGGTTCCTGGGAAGAGAGAGAGAGGGAGGGAGGAGAGAGAGAGGGGAGAGGGAGGGAGGAGAGAGAGAGGGAGAGAGGGAGGGATGGAGGGAGGGGGAGAGAGAGGGAGGGAGGGAGGGGGAGAGAGAGGGAGGGGAGAGAGGGAGAGAGAGGGAGGGGGAGAGAGGGAGGGAGGAGGGAGGGAGGGAGGGAGGGGGGAGAGAGAGGGAGGGGGAGAGAGGGAGGGAGGGGGAGAGGGAGGGAGGGGAGAGGAGGGAGGGAGGGGGGAGGGAGGGGGAGAGGGAGGGAGGGAGGGAGGGAGGGAGGGGGAGAGGGAGGGAGGGAGGGAGGGGGAGAGGGAGGGAGGGAGGGAGGGGGAGAGGGAGGGAGGGAGGGAGGGGAGGAGGGAGGGAGGGGGGAGAGGGAGGGAGGGAGGGAGGGAGGGAGGGAGGGAGGGAGGGAGGGAGGGAGGGAGGGGAGGGAGGGAGGGAGGGAGGGAGGGAGGGAGGGAGGGAGGGAGGGATAGACAATGAGTTCAAGAGCATAGATATGAGACAGACGAGGAGAGAATGAGGGAGAGAGCATTGATAAGGGAGAGGGAGAGAAGGAGGGAAAATAAAGGTTCATTACATCATGGTCACAGGGCAGTGTGACATGACCTTGTTAGGATTGATCTTCCTGTGTGTGTGTGTGTTTGTGTCTGGTAGTTACCTTGTTGAGGAAGCCCTTGAGAACGCTGGCAGCTTTGACTGACAACGACCGAGGAATCCTGATCTGTTTTTCCAATATTACTACAGAGAGGAGACAGAGGAGATTAGACTTTTTACTTTTCTGAAACGTTGCTCTTTATTGAAACAGCTACTTAGTTAGGACCTAACTAACAAGGAAACAAAGTCATATTTACACACACACACATTATCATCCCAGAGCACTCCCAGGAGGTGAACGAGTGCAAACTTGTTAGAGAGTAGGGTCCTAGAGAATAGGACCCAGCCATCCAGTGTGTCAGCTGATATACAGAGATATGTGTGACTTACTTTGGAAGAGGTAGTTTTAAGTATTGTGTGTGTGTTACCTTGGAAGAGGTAGTCTTCAGTGTTCTGGTCTGGGTTGTCGGAGCTCCCTACGATGTCGAAGGGCGACCGTCCAGCCATCATCTCAAACATCAGCACCCCCAGCGCCCACCAGTCCACACTGAAACCTGAACCCACACAATTGACAGAAAGTCATCTAAATGACTTTACATTTCAATATAAATACACATAAGAGAACATGCTTGTGCAAACAATGATGTGCATGGATATCTATAATGATGTGCATGTAATATGATTGTCTTCTGCTTCTGAATCTGAGGCAAATGTGCATTATTTGTAGCAGACAGTCTTACCGTAGTCCTCTCCTCTTAGTATCTCAGGGGCGATGTAGTTGGGGGTTCCACAGAATGTACTGGTGGTGTCTCCCGGCCTCAAGCCCTCCTAGAGAGCACAGCAGTCAGCACACACGTCTCACAACGTAGAGGCATTAACACACACAAACACCTCAGAGCTTACATGTATGCGCATGCAGAACTGCATAAACACACACACACACACACGTCAGCACACAAACACAAAAAGATACACACACACAGTACACAGACAGACAGAAACACACAGGCATAAGCACACCCAGGGTCAGACCCCGACACCCACCTTGCACATGCCATAGTCAGTGAGTTTGATGTGTCCTTCAGACTCCAGCAGCACGTTGTCCAGTTTGAGGTCTCTGTAGATGATGCCTCTCTCATGGAGGTAGTTCAATGCCAAGCTGATTTCTGCTGAGTAAAACCTGACAGAGAAAGAGATGGAAAATTATCGGTCAAGACTCAAGTCACACACCCAGATACATCACCGTCTAAGAGCTACACAACTAATCACCAAGCTCTTCATTAGTTGAATCAGGGTCGTGTTCATTAGACACCAAACGGAAGAAAATGTGCCGAAAGGAAGGGACTACCAGGACTTGTCCAATAAGAAACGCTCATTTTCAATAGCAAAAGGTTCTGTTGCGTACCCTAGTGAACATAACCCAAGTGTAGCTATGACATCATTGTTCAAACCTGGCGTGTTCCTCGGGTAGCTTCCTCTGTCTCTGCATGTGGAACATCAGGTCTCCTCCGTTAACATACTCTATGACAAAGAACAGTCTGCTCTCAGTCTGGAAACAGGAGTGTAGCCCCACTAGGAAGGGGTGGTTGGACGCCTGCTCAAACACGTGCTTCTCTGTCTGGACCCAGTCAATGTCCTACAACACAGGGAATAACACACACAGGATGCATTTGGAAATCCAGCACACTTGAAATCATATCAAACACTTGCTAAATAAGCAGACATAACCAGTCAGCCATCTGATGAGGACAGACAGACGGACAGAGTGAAAGAGTGGATGTGACAGATCTCTATTGACGGACAGATAGAAATAGGTCTGGACAGAGCAGCCTTAGACAGACAGACAAAAATGGACGTGAGGAGAGTGAAAATGTCTGAAAACACAGTGAGTGGTTCTGTTGACAGGCTTCTATTGACGAACAGGTAACAATAGGTCAAGACAGAGCAGCCTCTCAGACAGACAGAGGAGAGATGGCACAGATGATTGATCAGGTAGTGTCTGTCAACGTGTCAGACCAAGTGTGTGTGTTTCTTGAGTGTGTGTGTGTGTGTGTGTGTGTGTGTGAGTGCATCTGTGTACGTTTACCTCATCGTCGTTGACCAGCTCCTTCTTGACGACCTTCATGGCGTAGATCCTCTCAGTCTTCTTGAGTCGGACAAGCAGGACCTTAGCATAACTGCCCCGCCCGATCACCCTCAGCAGGTCAAAGTCCACCAGACCCAGACTGGACGCTGACTTCCCTGTGTCTCTGCTGCTGCGCGCCTAGAGGACAGAGAGGTGGACAGAAATAGGAATGAGACAAAAAGACAGGTTGCCATCACTCTCCCTCGCCACAACTTTGGCAACAAACACACTTCTCTCACTCATACACAATCTCAGTCCATCTTCCTCACCTCTTTCTCTTCTCCATTGTAGTTTAGACTCTCACTGGAATCTTTGTTCTGAGGACCTGAGAGAGAGAGTGACAGAGAGAGAGATAGATAGGGAGAGAAAGAAAGCAAGAGCAGTCACATATCCTCCTAGACACTAGAGGGCAGACCTGCCAACATTGAATAACTTTTATGAGTACCACTTCAGCGGTAGCCCCGGCCCCGACGACTGTGCGCGACATCCACACCGCACCTTTTATAGCCTAATGATGTTGGCAGAAAACTGCCTCAGTAGGAATGGTAGGCTATAGACTTATGGGTATTTGGTAATTGGCTGCTCTTCAATTTAAATGTAGAAATCAGGGCTCTCCCTAGGATTTTCTGACAAGGTGGTGCTGATGTAGGCCTAAGGTTGGGTAGGGGAAGATCTGGAGGGGGTCAGTCAACTTTCCCCTAAGGAAGTTGGAGCATTTTTCATTTTAGAAAAACCTGTAACTGCCATTTCCTGAAACCAAGAGTCTTAAATTATATCAAACAATGTAGCCAACACAGAAGTCTTGTTTGATCCAAAATGAAATTGAGGTGGTCTCAATGACACTTTCAAAATGTTCTAGGTTCAATTTGGAGTAATGATTATTCTAATTATTAAGTGTCTTTATGTGGATAGTCTAGTGTTTGTTTCTGAATATTTCAATTACTGGATGCCATGTCGTAGTAGTCTAGCTTACTGTAGGCTATTTGGATTATGAAACTGAACTAGGCCTATATGAGCTGACTACTAGACAACCTTAGCAGAAAGCGGATGTTGCCGGTTTTCAGGGATACAGTATTTTCATCCCCACTTCCGTTTCCCCCTGAAAAACGGAAGTGGAGACTCCGCTCTGGCGTCCATCTACGCCTGCTACGTTAGGTTAACTACTAGGCTACCATTCATTCAACATGCCTTGTCATTGGTGAACTGACGATTATCAAATCATTAGCAGCCTACTGTTGACACAGCTATATGAATAACTGATTAATTAACATACGCCTACTAATCTTTAACAGTCTAACATAACTTTCTGTGAACGACTGTATTAGCGGAACAGCTCTCTCTGCCATGTCTGTTTCCATCCACGCAGTAACACGCACTGAACTACTGCAACACCGTACATGTTTCCTTGTTCGTCAATGTGCTCGTGCTTACTACCGTTGCGGAGATCAAAGCACGTGTGGGCAAGAAAGTGTTATTTCTTAGTTGACTAAACGCTGTAGCTACAGTGGCTTCAGAAAGTATTTGCATCCCTTGACTTTTTACACATTTTGTTGTGTTACAGCCTGACATTTTAATGGATTCAATTGATATTTGTAATCACTGGCCTACACACAATACCCCATAATGTCAGTGGAATTATGTTTTTAGATCAATTTTTTTATGAATAAAAAATTAATGTAAAACTGAAATGTCTTTAGTCAATTAGCCCTTTGTTATGGCGAGCCTAAATACAGTGGGGAGAACAAGTATTTGATACACTGCCGATTTTGCAGGTTTTCCTACTTACAAAGCATGTAGAGGTCTGTAATTTTTATCATAGGTACACTTCAACTGTGAGAGACGGAATCTAAAGAAAATCACATTGTATGATTTTTAAGTAATTTAAGTAAACTGCACGTTCTGCCCTTATTCACAGATTCATTTTTTTTTCAGCTGAGACAGCTTTATATATTAATGATACAAAGTAAACAACCTACAAATATGTCTGACGACTAAATACTTGCGAGTGATTTGAGGCAAATTGAGCTTCAGATAGCCACCGCCACTCTAGCCATCCCCAGGATCAACACAGACTGGTGGTGCAGTTGTGGCAATTGCGCTCCAATGCCGCAAAAGAGAACGAGGAGCAGTTCGTTTGATTTTGCGACCACAGGGATTTTGCTGCCCACATAAACTCAGGTGTCCCAAAAATATATATATATCCTAAACAAAATTGGAGACGCACCCGTTCCAGCTGGGCCAAATGGACAGTTATCTAACTAGAAAGTAGCTACTTTACTTTATTGAATGATCGCTTGTCATAAACCTCTATGAGTGGGACAGTTAGTGGGTTTACATACACATTAACCCAAAACACTACATAGCATACAGTGGGGGAAAAAAGTATTTAGTCAGCCACCAATTGTGCAAGTTCTCCCACTTAAAAAGATGAGAGAGGCCTGTAATTTTCATCATAGGTACACGTCAACTATGACAGACACAATGAGGGAAAGAAAATCCAGAAAATCACATTGTAGGATTTTTTATGAATTTATTTGCAAATTATGGTGGAAAATAAGTATTTGGTCAATAACAAAAGTTTCTCAATACTTTGTTATATACCCTTTGTTGGCAATGACACAGGTCAAACGTTTTCTGTAAGTCTTCACAAGGTTTTCACACACTGTTGCTGGTATTTTGGCCCATTTCTCCATGCAGATCTCCTCTAGAGCAGTGATGTTTTGGGGCTGTCGCTGGGCAACACAGACTTTCAACTCCCTCCAAAGATTTTCTATGGGGTTGAGATCTGGAGACTGGCTAGGCCACTCCAGGACCTTGAAATGCTTAGTACGAAGCCACTCCTTCGTTGCCCGGGCGGTGTGTTTGGGATCATTGTCATGCTGAAAGACCCAGCCACGTTTCATCTTCAATGCCCTTGCTGATGGAAGGAGGTTTTCACTCAAAATCTCACGATACATGGCCCCATTCATTCTTTCCTTTACACAGATCAGTCGTCCTGGTCCCTTTGCAGAAAAACAGCCCCAACACTGCAGGATTTGAGTCCCTGGCGGCGTAGTGTGTTACTGATGGTAGGCTTTGTTACTTTGGTCCCAGCTCTCCGCAGGTCATTCACTAGGTCCCCCCGTGTGGTTCTGGGATTTTTGTGATCATTTTGACCCCACGGGGTGAGATCTTGCGTGGAGCCCCAGATCGAGGGAGATTATCAGTGGTCTTGTATGTCTTCCATTTCCTAATAATTGCTCCCACAGTTGATTTCTTCAAACCAAGCTGCTTACCTATTACAGATTCAGTCTTCCCAGCCTGGTGCAGGTCTACAATTTTGTTTCTGGTGTCCTTTGACAGCTCTTTGGTCTTGGCCATCGTGGAGTTTGGAGTGTGACTGTTTGAGGTTGTGGACAGGTGTCTTTTATACTGATAGCAAGTTCAAACAGGTGCCATTAATACAGGTAACGAGTGGAGGACAGAGGAGCCTCTTAAAGAAGAAGTTACAGGTCTGTGAGAGCCAGAAATCTTGCTTGTTTGTAGGTGAACAAATACTTATTTTCCACCATAATTTGCAAATAAATTCATTAAAAATCCTACAATGTGATTTTCTGGAGAAAAAAAATCTCAATTTGTCTGTCATAGTTGACGTGTACCTATGATGAAAATTACAGGCCTCTCTCATCTTTTTAAGTGGGAGAACTTGCACAATTGGTGGCTGACTAAATACTTTTTTCCCCCACTGTATGTTTACTTATCACAATGTTTTGGGGATATTCTATTTTGCAATGTAAGGTGAGAAAGTCTACTGTCTCTCAACCTCCCCATCATAAATACATATGGCACATATGCTAACCCAGGGGTTCCCACGACCCCATTTGATATATGAAAAATTTCGTGACCCCACCCATGTGAAAACAGCCAATGTTTACTTTTTTATTTGGGGCTATGGGATTCAATTGAAAGACATTTTAACAGTATTTCTGATTGTCTTCAACTCACCATCACATACTTTGAATGTGGGGCAGTCAATTGCAAATTAGTTTCACAATGTCTTATCTCACCACCACTAATGAATGGGGGTGCTTGATGCATGTCGTGTAGTAGCTTCTCAAAGTCAATATATTTTCAACACTCCCCCCTCGATAACCACCAAGCCTCTGTATGAAATAGAACATTGTGATGCTCTGATACCACATCTCCACATAGTTTTGCGAACAGGCGTGCACGCAGTGGATGTGGTTTGATGTAGTTCACAATCGAAGTTACCTGCTGCAGTATATCTCAGAGTTCTGTACTCAGCTCTTTTGCCACCAGTTGCTCTCGGTGTATCATACAATGCGTCCATATGGCAGAGGGAGACACATTCATAACTAGAGCGCAGAGGCCTGCCCTCCGTCCCGTGATAGATAGAGCCCCATCTGTGCAAAAGCCCACCATTCGATCCCATATGGAATCTGTTTTTTGTCAATATAGCCACGCAGCACACTGAACATCCCATATGTTGTTTCATGCTCGGGAATCGTGAGACAGAACAATATGTCCTCGTGAATAGCATCCCCCGACATGTATAGCTTAACAAAAGTCAATGCATGGGCATCTCTGCCCTCACAGCTAAAGTCCATTTGGAGAGCATAAGCTGAGGAATTTAAGTCAGTTTCCGCTTGTTTGCTAGCAATAGCATTAATTATTTGTTTGACAGTGTTGTCTGACAAAGGTATTGATGTGAGTTTGTACCCCTGCTTTCCTACACATTGTTTTCACCGGTTGGCCGGTAATATCAAAGTCTCTGCAATAGTGTATGGTTTCATAGCGTAGCAGGTCTAGCCATTCACCGTGGGAGTTCAGCGGTCAAATGAGGCCTTTTCCCATGATCTAAGGGCACTCTCTGGTTGAATTTAATATTTTAGATTTGAATCACTTTCAGTTAGATTTTTAAGTTTAACCACATTATACAAAGACGATATTATAATATACATTATTTTTTTGTATATACAGACCCGTGTCAAAAGTTTGGACACACCTACTCATTCCAGGGTTCTTCTTTATTTTTACTATTTTCTACATTGTAGAGCAATAGTGAAGACATCAAAACTATGAAATAACACATCTGGAATCATGTAGTAAACAAAAAAGTGTTCAACAAATCAAAATATATTTTATATATTTGAGATTCTTCAAATAGCCACCCTTTGCCTTGATGACAGCTTTGCACACTCTTGGCATTCTCTCAACCAGCTCCATGAGGTAGTCACCTGGAATGCATTTCAATTAACAGGTGTGCATTGTTAAAAGTTAATTTGTGGAATTTCTTTCCTTCTTAATGCGTTTGAGCCAATCAGTTGTGTTGTGACGAGGTAGGGGGGTATACAGAAGATAGCCCTATTTGGTAAAAGACCAAGTCCATATTATGGCAAGAACAGCTCAAATAAGCAAAGAGAAACGACAGTCCATCATTACTTTAAGACATGAAGGTCAGTCAATACAGAACATTTCAAGAACTTTTAAAGTTTCTTCAAGTGCAGTCACAAAAACCATCAAGTGCTATGATGAAACGTAACTCTGCTGCAGAGGATAAGTTCATTAGAGTTACCAGCCTCAGAAATTGCAGCCCAAATAACTGCTTTACAGAGTTCAAGTAACAGACACATCTCAACATCAACTGTTCAGAGGGGACAGTGTGAATCAGGCCTTCATGGTTGAATTGCTGCAAAGAAACCACTACTAAAGGACACCAATAAGAAGAAGAGACCTGCTTGGGCCAAGAAACACAAGAAATTGACATTAGACCGGTGGAAATTTGTCCTTTGGTCTGGAGTCCAAATTGGAGATTTTTGGTTCCAACTGCCGTGTCTTTGTGAGACATGGTGTGGGTGAACGGATGATCTCTGCATGTGTATTTCCCACCGTAAAGCATGGAGGAGGAGGTGTTATGGTGTGGGGGTGCTTTGCTGGTGACACTGTCTGTGATTTATTTAGAATTCAAGGCACACTTAACCAGCATAGTTACCACAGCATTCTACAGCGATACGCCATCCCATCTGGTTTGGGCTTAATGGGACTATCATTTGTCTTTCAACAGGACAATGACCCAACACACCTCCAGGCTGTGTAAGGGCTATTTTAACAAGAAGGAGAGTGATGGAGTGGTGCATCAGATGACCTGGCCTCCACAATCCCCCGACCTCAACCCAATTGAGATGGTTTGGGATGAGTCGGACCGCAGAGTGAAGGAAAAGCAGCCAACAAGTGCTCAGCATATGTGGGAACTCCTTCAAGACTGTTGGAAAAGCATTCCAGGTGAAGCTGGTTGAGAGAATGCCAAGCGTGCGCAAAGCTGTCATCAAGACAAAGGGTGGCTATTTGAAGATACTCAAATATAAAATATACTTTGATTTGTTTAACACTTTTTTGTTTGCTACATGTGTGCTATTTCATAGTTTTGATGTCTTCACTATTATTCTACAATGTAAAAATAAAGAAAAACCCTAGAATGAGTAGGTGTGTCCAACCTTTTGACTGGAAGTGTATATTTTGTCTTTCTCTCAGGATTTTAGAAATTCTCCCGCGACCCAATTTCATATCAGGCAACCCCACATGGGGTCTCGACCCCTAGTTTGGGAACCGCTGTGCTAACCTGTAGAGCACCTAGGCCTATATGGTGTAATGGTAACACAATAAGAACACCTCGAACGTCAAGAATCAGGCTAGGCTACATACCTCCACGCGCTTGCTTTGTCGCGTTCTCTTCTTAAACGCGCCTTTGCATTTTGGCACTGCGCCAGATCCAGCCAACAGCTGTATCTTTAAGTATCCTTTCTGTCCCCAAAATGTCCTTGTTCATACGTATCGTCGCATGCTACACACACGCAGCTATGAAAAGTTGGCTGTTGTAGTATTTACAGTGAAAACAATGAAATTCCTAGCAACTTAACGAGTCACATGATCTGTTTTTGCAGCCGTTTCAGTACAGCACTATAGGGAGAGAGGGGGGGAGATGGCAAACTCCACTGAACTAGTTTCAATGTATGGAATCAATTGAGAATTTCTGGATTTTGGGTAAACTTCTCCTTTAAACCTTCTTATTCAGTCAGCCACCAGTAGAGCACCTGACAGGACTTAAGGCTGTCTTAGTCCTACTGGATCCAGCTTAGTGACGGAGGTCTGGGGACACGGTCTAAAGAAATAATTAATTTCGTCAAAATGACTGATTGTTTATGAGGATCCATCTTAGCCCACCAGGGCTAGTTTTCCTTAAAAAGGCAGTGTGTGTGTGTGTGTGAGAGAGAGTGTGAGCGTATGTGTTACCTGGCTGTTCAGATTGGTCTAATGGAGTGATGGAGGCCCCCCTATCAGGCCCCATGATAGGCTCCTAGAAAGAGAGCGAGATGGAGAGCGAGAGAGAGAAAGAGGACATGTTGAGAAATATTGTGTGTCAGTCCTTTCTTAATGAAAATACAATGTGTAGGGCCAGGAGTTTTTCCGGGTCAGGTCATGTGAAAAGAGCAGGGTAAAACTCTGGGCACTAAGTATAAGAGGCGGCACTGACCGCTCCCTGTTCCTCACCTGTATCATCTGTCGGCCACACTCCACGGTGACCAGTTTGTGACACTTCTTGTGGACCAGCAGTTTGCAGTTGATGCATTTGTAACCCTGTCGCCCCAGACCCCAGATACGGTCTGTGCAGATGGCGCAGTGAGCTCTCTGGAAGACAAAGAAAACACACCTTTAGAGAGAAAGAGAGAGGTGACGAAAGAGAGAGGAATAGAGAGAGGGATAGAGGGAAACAGAGGTAAAAAGTGAGGAAGAGAAAGAGCGAAGGATAGAGAAGAAGAGAGAGAAAGAGGTGAAGGAAGAGAGGAAATGTAAAATAGATGGATACAGTGCACTCTAAAAATGAGGGGTTCAACAAGGGTCCTTCTAAGATCCTCAAAGTTCTTTGACGAACCTTATGGTTCTTGGAACTGAAAATGGCCCCCAAAAGGTTCTTCCAAGAACCCCATAGGAGGTGGGATTCATCGAGGAACCTCCTTAGTTGGTGGGAGTTCTTGCAGGAACCTAACTGCCCAACTGAAACATTTGAATTTGAAAGAACAGCAGGTGCAGGCACTTAACTGAAAAATGTTAAGAGCTCCTTAATTTAAGGTAAGGTTTGTCCCATGTATGATCTAAATTCATTTTGTTTTATGATACCATCTATCTTTTCATATTTGCGCAAATCTTTCTAAAACAGAAAATGGACACAATTCAATGGATATCAATCAACAAAGAGGTAAGAATATGTAGGCTATAAAAATATGTTGAAGGCTAGCTGTATTGGATGCAGATGACTGAACTGCTCACTTTTGTGTCTGTAGGTATACAGACGAGGAGGCATACAAAGGGTATGTCAATTGGTATTGGTATGTTATGCAGATCACATTTACCATCCTCCTCCCTTACCTCTTCAATGAATTCCCATAGCCCTCTACATTATGGACAAGGTATGTGTATAAAAACCATTATCAAAACAGTTTATTTTTTCATTCACATTCACCACAAAAACCAAGATATGAATTCTGTCGTGTGCATGTGTTGTTAATTATCTGTATAATGACATTTTTTTGGATTCACAGACTTTACCCTCCCTACACCTCTGATGAATATAACAAAAAAAGAAACAACGCCAAGAATTAAGATGTAAAAAAAACAAATAAATGTACTAAAACAATAACTTCAAAAACAGTCCCATTCATCACTGGATTTCTTTGCTGTGCGGGAAAAGGATGTCATCCACCGTGCCTGGTCGCAAGCTCGCAGCTGGCTTCTCTCTGAAACCACATATCCATCTGAAGGTGATGCTTTATCCTTTGGAACCACACAATTACCAGGTGGACAGTAGGCCTCTTGAAGCGATAGAGGAAATCAACTAGATCCACAAGTATTCTTTCACAATAGCTGGCCTTATGTTATCTGCAGTGTTGAGCTGCACTGTCCCACTCCGTGGTGGATAACATCCACTCTTTGTTTATGCAATGGGCTGTAAGGCACAAGTATCATATTTTTCAAAAATCATCAGTCCACGTCAAGTGTAATTGAGCCATTGTATTTACCCAAGTTCTCTCTCAAATTGTTTTTTGCCTGATGCAGGACTCTAGTGCGATAGGAGAGACTGACAAACATTCACACCTCCCTTAATTTACAAAAGGATAGTCTAATAGCCTGGCTAGGTGTGAAAAATCCCCCAATTTGTACCACAGTTTAGACTACAGATAGATGCTGCGGTCAGTCAGAGTTGAGTCCTATTGTAAAGTGTAGCCTAATGGCCAAAAAAGGGCAAACTTGCAATGTATTCGAGGCTTAAGTACTCTAAAGTTTTACATTTCTAACTCAATATCACAGACCAGATTTGCCCTAACGAAAAATGCATCAACCTCTACATACATATTAATTTACTATAATCCACCTAATTCAAATGAAATTAGCTGTAGTACGAGGAGAGACTGCATGCTAAAGACAATCAGAAAGAATGTGTCTTTAACCCTGCATTATAATATAACTTATTTTGAACGAAAGCCAGGAATGAGTGACTCACTCAGCACTATGCTGTTCCTGCTTCTGTTGTCTCTGAGTGTTTGCTTAATATCCTACTCATTCTGTGATCACCATGCCTCATGCAACTGCAAAATGTTGGATAAAGCAATTTCACAAATCTGGCTGTTTTTAAAAACTTTGCTATGCTGTATTAAAGGCTTTACTTTTTTTCTTCTTCATTAGAACAGACTCTCTGGTATTACTTTATTCAGTATTGTTAACACTGTTAGAAACTGGCAGATAAAATATATTGTAATCTAACAGCACCTGTTTGTCATGCAACAGTATCTCCTCTTGCACTTTTGACAATTATTTTACATGAGGCCTAATTCACATGTTATCCCTAAAACACTAGGCTAATAAATAATATCATTTTTCCATTCGATTGTTTAATTAACCTATATCATGTTATTTCAAGTTATCCATTTGGAGCAAAAGCGATTTGGAGTTATTGAACGGGAGTGGCAAAATGTATTACAATTGAATTTGAATGAACTGAATGATGAGGATGAAGAAGAGAGTGATTGAATTTAGATCAATAGTGTACGAATTGCTCTTCCTCTGTCCCACGTGCACAATCAAAAAGAGAGACTTTTTTTTGTTTCTACTTTGTCAGAAGCTGTAACTGAACTGTTGTTACTGTAAGAGTTTTATTCTAAGAAACGAAAATGGTCTGTTATATTCCATTATATTCTTAAAACATATGTGTTGACTGCTAAATTAACAAGTTGATGGCGAAGGTTTAGACATTTTTGCAAATGTATTAAAAATAAAAAACTGAAATATCTTATTTAGATAAGTATTCAGACCCTTTGCTAAGAGACTATAAATTGAGCTCAGGTGCATCCTGTTTCCATTGATCATCCTTGAGATGTGTATACATCTTGATTAGAGTCCACCTGTGGTAAATTCAACTGATTGGACATGATTTGGAAAGGCACACACCTGTCTATATAAGGTCCCACAGTTGACAGTGCATGTCAGAGCAAAAACCAAGCCACGAGGTTGAAGGAATTGTCCATAGAGCTCAGAGACAGGATTGTGTCAAGAAACAGATCTAGGGAAGGGTACCAAAAAATGTCTGAAGCATTGAAGGTCCCCAAGAACACAGTGGCCTCCATCATTCTTAAATGGAAGAAGTTTGGAACCACCAAGACTCTTCCTAGAGCTGGCCGCCCGGCCAAACTGAGCAATCGGGGGAGAAGAGCCTTGGTCAGGGAGGTGATCAAGAACCCGATGGTCACTCTGACAGCGCTCCAGCGTTCCTCTGTGGAGATAGGAGAACCTTCCAGAAGGACAACCATCTCAGCAGCACTCCACCAATCAGGCCTTTATGGTAGAGTGTCCAGACGGAAGCCACTCCTCAGTAAAAAGGCACATGACAGCCTGCTTAGAGTTTGCCAAAAGGCACCTAAAGACTCTCAGACCATGAAAAACAAGATTCTCTGGTCTGATGAAACCAAGACTGAACTCTTTGGCCTGAATGCCAAGCGTCACGTCTGGAGGAAATCTGGCACCATCCCTACGGTGAAGCATGGTGGTGGCAGCATCATGCTGTGTGGATGTTTTTCAGTGGCAGGGACTGGGAGACTAGTCAGGATCAAGGGAAAGATGAACGGAGCAAAGTATAGAGAGATCCTTGATGAAAACCTGCTCCAGAGTGCTCAGGACCTCAGACTGGGGCGAAGGTTCACCTTCCAACAGGACAACGACCCTAAACACACAGCCAAGACAATGCAGAAGTGGCTTCGGGACAAGTCTTAGAATGTCCTTGATTGGCCCAGCCAGAGCCCGGACTTAAACCCAATCGAACATCTCTGGAGAGACCTGAAAATAGCTGTGCAGCGACGCACCCCATCCAACCTGACAGAGCTTGAGAGGATCTGCAGAGAAGAATGAGAGAAACTCCACAAATACATGTGTGCCAAGCTTGTAGCGTCATACCCAAGAAGAATTGAGGTTGTAATCGCTGCCAAAGGTACTTCAACAAAGTACTGGATGAAGGGTCTGAATACTTATGTAAATGTCATATTTCCATTTTTAATAAATTTGCAAAAATGTCTAAACCTGTTTTGGCTTTGTTATTATGGGGTGTTGTGTGTAGATTGAGGGGGAAAAAAACAATATAATCAATTTTAGAATAAGGCTGTAACGTAACAAAATGTGAAAAAAGTTGTTCTAACAAAAAAAGGTTTTAAAGTCTCTAATACAGCCAATATTAAAAACAGTCAAATGCATATGTGAATTCAATCGCTTTAGCCAACATTGTTATTTCGTTTTGTAACTAAAATGCTTGACTGTATTTAAAGACATGGATGGCTTGTATGCTGTGTGATGACATGAACAAATGAATGAATGATTGATTTATATACTGTATATTGAAGTAGGCCTTAATGTCAATAAGTAAGTTACGCTAAAACAGCTACAGTAAACAGGACTCTTGGGCCTACAGCTCCATGTCATTTCAATAACTTAGCTTCTCAAACATGCCCTCTGGTGGTCGAACTAGCATTAATGGCAACAATGGCTGACAGTAAAATACTATGACGTCATGCACTCCAACATGCCATTCCATTCCGCAAGCTGTGCTGTGGTATGACACAACTTTTAAAGGAAGAACCACTGTATATATAGAGAGAGGGGGAGATAGAGAGAAAGAAAGAGGAAGGAAGAGCAGAATATAGAGAAAGAGAGATGGATAGAAAGAAAGAGATGGATAGAGAGGTAGCTCACCCTGTTGAAGCGTTTTGCCTGGAAGGCATGGCCACTTGCGTAGTAGAGCTTCCTCCAACGTCTCGCCCCACGACGATATATAGACTCTGAATAGGAGCAAGAAACGGGGGTTACAGGATCAAGTGTGTGTGTGTGTCAGAGAGAAACTCCCCAGCTTCAGAAAACAATGATATGGATATAAGAGAAAAAGGGACAAGTAGTTGTAGACTTACTGTCCTCTCCTGGACAGGGCATGCCAGGCTTCTCTGGGACACAAGGAAACACTGAGAGGAGAGGGAAATAACACCATTATGCCTACAACATTGCAGTCCCTACATCACACAAGTGCGTGCGTGTGCCAGAGGTGAGTGGTGGATGCTCTCTCATTAACTAGCATACTTGGCGCCCCACTGTGCCCTTCCCCCTATCCTCCACCTCGTTTCATCTCCCCCCTCATCCCCCTCTAGTCTCCTCCACTTCCACTACTGTGACCTTCACCTTGCCCTTAACCTGTGACCCTCCCTTCTATCCAGTGTTGATCCAGTGCACACGTGCACAGACACACAGACTACTCAGTAAACCCATTCCATCTCCTAGCGAGGCGAGGATCAGTGTAGCAGACAGAGTGAGTCATGTTTGTTATGTATCCATTATGTTGTCTGCCGTTTTATCCTTGTCTGCAATGTCAGCCCAGCAGCCAACATTCATATTTATTCAATTAATAAGTTGAATTGAATGTAATGGAACGTGAATGTTCTTAAGTTGTCTGATGTTGAATGTGTGTCTACACTGAGGATAAATTAAGTTTATTGAATTGAACGCAAGGCCAATGTATGCATTATGTTGTCTGCATTGTCACTGCACTGTCAGTCAAGGAATGATTTCCCCTTGGGTATAAATAAAGTTTATTGAATATAATTGAAGGTCGTGTTACCATGGATGATGAGTTCAGAGTCTTTATTGAGTTCATAGAGCCTCAGGGCTTCCTCCAGCTCCAGCTGAGATGATACTGTACACGGGTCACCTGGGAGGACAGTGGACACAGCAACACAACCGGTCAGTACAGCAACTGCATCTCACATGACACCCTATTCCCCATATAGCGGAGTTCTGTAATCATTCACCACCACCTTCTGTCGGTCACAAAAGCTGCTGTGTTCCTCAAGATCTCTCTTAGCTGATACATTTAGCTGTTCCCAGTTTAGAACAGGTGTCTATGAGGGAGTGTATGTGTGTGTTGGTGAGTTATGTGAAGGCAGCGGCTCAGTCTTGGCTGAGTTCATTATGAACAGTTGCAGTGTGTTTTGCAGAGCCTGTGACGAGGCTATTGAAGGTATGGCTGGCTGGTGAGTGGTGATACATTAATTACTTAGGGCAGCCTGACCTTTCACTGAGTCCAACAACCTGACATCTTCATCTATACTGTGACACACACAAGCATTACTGTGGTACGACCAGCCCGATACTGAGGCAGGGCCAGCTAGCTGGATACCGCATGACTAGCTGGACAGATACTGAGGAAGTACAAAGTCTAGCACAGCTAGCTTTCTCGCATATCATAATTTTTTATTTATTTAACCTTTCTTTAACTAGGCAAGTCAGTTAAGAACAAATTCTAATTTACAATGACGGCCTACACCGGCCAAACCCGGACGACGCTGGACCAATTGTGCGCTGCCCTATGGGACTCCCAATCACGACCGGTTGTGATACAGCCTGGAATCGAACCAGGGGGTTAGTAGTGACGCCTCAAGCACTGAGACAGTGCCTTAGACCGCTGCGCCACTCGGGAGCTGCACAGCTATTTTCAGGTCTCTACAGAGATGTTCGATCGGGTTCAAGTCCGGGCCATTCAAGGACATTCAGAGACTTGTCCCGAAGCTACACGTGCAACACAGCATTCCTAACCTAGCCCACAATGTCTGCTGTGTGGATCTATTTTGAAGTTTCAAAGGAAGGTAACAAAAAGGCCATATGCAATGTTTGCGCAGCTATTATTTCCCAAGGAGGGGAGAAAGTGAAATCTTTCAATACCACAAACCTAATTACTCATTTGAAAGTGCATCACCCCCAGACGTTCAGTGACTACTTCCAACAACTAAACAAGTTCAAGTCCAGCAGTCATTTGAAAGAGTAAGAACATTTTGGTGAAACTCAAAGGCGAAATCCATTAACGCCAAGATAATGGAATTCATTGCCCTTGACATTCTACCGTTCTCTGTCGTGGATGATGTTGGCTTTTTCGCCGACTGGTCGAGCACCGGTACACTCTACCAAGCAGGCGCTATTTTTCAGATGTTGCCCTACCGGAGTTACGCAGTATTGTTTTACATTTTTCAGTCATTTAGCAGACGCTCTTATCCAGAGCGACTTACAGTTAGTGAGTGCATACATTTTCATACTGGCCTCCAGTGGGAAACGAACCCACAACCCTGGCGTTGCAAGCGACATGCTCTACCAACTGAGCTACAGGGGATTGTTGAAACGTACATCCGTGAGCTACTTGCTATGGGGGTCACTGCTATTAGCTTCACGACTGACATTTGGACCAGCGATGTCAGCCCCATGAGCATGCTGAGTCTGACAGCACAGTGGTTCGAAGAGGATTTCGTACTGAGGAAAGCCGTATTGCATGCTCAAGAATGTGCTGGTTCTCATACCGCTGCTGCCATTTCAATGGCATTTGAGAACATGTTTGAAACTTGGAAAATCCCCAAGAACAAAGTACACGCTGTGCTATGTGATAAAGCACATAACATGACAAAGGCTTTGGAAGAATGCGGAGTTGCCAGTTTGCCATGCATGCCACACACGCCATTGGCAACAGGTAGGAAGATAGTGGGTCATTTTAAACACTCACAGCTAGCATACAGCCGCCTGCAAGCAATACATAAGCAGTACTGTTTACATGAAAGAGAGCCTGCTGGAACAAAAACGAGTGCTTGGCGTGTACGCAGCCGACTGAGTTACCTGCAATAATCAGTACTTTTTATTTTGTTTTATTTCACCTTTATTTAACCAGGTAAGCCAGTTGAGAACAAGTTCTCATTTACAACTACGATCTGGCCAAGATAAAGCAAAGCAGTGCGATAAAAACAACAACACAGAGTTACATATGGAATAAACAAAAATGTACAGTCAATAACACAATAGAAAATAGAAAATCTATATACAGTGTGTGCAAATGTAGTAGGTTATGGAGGTAAGGCAATAAATAGGCCATAGTGCAAAATAATTACAATTTAGTATTAACACTGGAGTGATAGATGTGCAGAAGATGATGTGCAAATAGAGATACTGGGGTGCAAATTAGCAAAATAAATAATGTAAATAACAATATGGGGATGAGGTAGTTGGGTGGGCTAATTACAGATGGGCTGTGTACAGGTACAGTGATCGGTAAGCTGCTCTAACAACTGATGCTTAAAGTTAATGAGGGAGATAAGTGTCTCCAGCTTCAGAGATTTTTGTAGTTCGTTCCAGTCATTTGCAGCAGAGAACTGGAAGGAATGGCAGCCAAAGGAGGTATTGGCTTTGGGGTTGACCAGTGAGATATACCTGCTGGAGCACATACTACGGGTGGGTGTTGCTATGGTGACCAATGAGCTAAGATAAGGCGGGGATTTGCCTAGCAGTGATTTATAGATGGCCTGGAGCCAGTGGGTTTGGCGACGAATATGTACTGAGGGCCAGCCAACGAGAGCGTACAGGTCACAATGGTGGGTAGTATATGGGGCTTCGGTGACAAAACGGATGGCACTGTGATAGACTACATCCAATTTGCTGAGTAGAGTGTAGGAGGCAATTTTGTAAATGACATTGCCGAAGTCAAGGATCGGTAGGATAGTCAGTTTTACGAGGGCATGTTTAGCAGCATGAGTGAAGGAGGCTTTGTTGCGAAACAGGAAGCCGATTCTAGATTTAACTTTGGATTGGAGATGCTTAATGTGAGTCTGGAAGGATTTAAGCTCGTTTGGAGGTTTGTTAACACAGTGTCCAATGAAGGGCCAGATGTATACAAAATGGTGTCGTCTGCGAAGAGGTGGATCTGAGAGTCACCAGCAGCAAGAGCGACATCATTGATATACACAGAGAATAGAGTCGGCCCGAGAATTGAACCCTGTGGCACCCCCATAGAGACTGCCAGAGGTCCAGACAACAGGCCCTCTGATTTGACACATTTAACTCTATCTGAGAAGTAGTTGGTGAACCAGGTGAGGCAGTCAGTTGAGAAACCAAGGCTATTTAGTCTGCCAATAAGAATGCGGTGATTGACAGAGTCAAAAGCCTTGGCCAGGTCGATGAAGACGGCTGCACAGTACTGTCTTTTATCAATCGCGGTTATTATATCGTTTAGGACCTTGAGCGTGGCTGAGGTGCACCCATGACCAGCTCGCAAACCAGATTGCATAGCGGAGAAGGTACGGTGGGATTCGAAGTGGTCGGTGATCTGTTTGTTAACTTGGCTTTCAAATACTTTCGAAAGGCAGGGTAGGATGGATATAGGTCTGTAACAGTTTGGATCTAGAGTGTCACCCCCTTTGAATAGGGGGATGACCGCAGCAGCTTTCCAATCTCTGGCGATCTCAGATGATACGAAAGAGGTTGAACAGGCTAGTAATAGGGGTTGAGACAATTTCGGCGGCTAATCTTAGAAAGAAAGTGTCCAGATTGTCTAGCCCAGCTGATTTGTAGGGTCCAGATTTTGCAGCTCTTTCAGGACATCAGCTAACTGAATTTGGGTGAAGGAGAAGCGGGGGGGGGCATGGGCAAGTTGAGGCGGAGGGTGCAGAGCTGGTGGCCGGGGTAGGGGTAGCCAGGTGGAAAGCATGGCAAGCTGTAGCAAAATGAAATTCTCGATTATTGTAGACTTATCGGTGGTGACAGTGTTTCCTAGCCTCAGTGTAGTGGGTAGCTGGGACGAGGTGCTCTTATTCTCCATGGACTTTACAGTGTCCCAAAACGTTTTGATGTTTTCTGTTTGAAAAAGCTAGCCTTTGCTTTCCTAACTGCTTGTGTATATTGGTTCCTGACTTCCCTGAAAATTTGCATATCGCGGGGTCTGTTCGATGCTAATGCAGTACACCACAGGATGTTTTTGTGCTGGTCAAGGGCAGCCAAGTCTGGGGTGAACCAGGGGCTATATCTGTTCTTAGATCAACTTTTTTTGAATGGGGCATGCTTATTTAAGATGGAGAGGAAAGCACTTTTGAAGAACATCCAGGCATCCTCTACTGACTGAATGAGGTCAATATCCATCCAGGATACCCGGGCCAGGTCAATTAGAAAGGCCTGCTCGCTGAAGTGTTTTAGGGAACGTTTGACAGTGATGAGGGATGGTCGTTTGACCGCGGACCCATTATGGACTCAGGCAATGAGGCAGTGATCGCTGAGATCCTGGTTGAAGACAGCGGAGATGTATTTAGAGGGTAAATTAGTCAGGATGATATCTATGAGGGTGCCCATGTTTACGGATTTAGGGTTGTACCTGGTAGGTTCCTTGATAATTTGTGTGAGATTGAGGGCATCTAGTTTAGATTGTAGGACGGCCGGGGTGTTAAGCATATCCCAGTTTAGGTCACCAAGCAGTACGAACTCTGGAGATAGATGGGGGGCAAGCAATTCACATATGGTGTCCAGGGCACAACTGGGGGCTGAGGGGGGTCTGTAGCAAGCGGCAACAGTGAGATACTTATTTCTGGAAAGGTGGATTTTTAGAAGTAGAAGCTCAAACTGTTTGGGCACAGACCTGAATATCATGATAGAGCTCTGCAGGCTCTCTCTACAGTAGATTGCAACTCCGCCCCCTTTGGCAGTTCTATCTAGACGGAAAATGTTGTAGATGGGGAAAGGAATTTCTGAATTTATGGTGGCCTTCCTAAGCCAGGATTCAGACACTGCTAGAACATCAGGCAGAGTGTGCTAACGCAGTGAATATCTCAAACTTGGGGAGGAGGCTTCTGATGTTAACATGCAAGAAACCAAGGCTTTTACGGTTACAGAAGTCAACAAATGATAGCGCCTGGTGAGTAGGAGTGATACTGGGGGCTACAGGGCCTGGGTTAACCTCTACATCACCAGAGGAACAGAGGAGGAATATAATAAGTATACGGCTAAAGGCTTTAAGAACTGGTCTTCTAGTGCGTTGGTACAGAGAATAAACGGGGCAGATTTCCGGGCGTTGTGGAATAGATTCAGGGCATTATGTACAGACAAGGATATGGAAGGATATGAGTACAGTGGAGGTACACCTAGGCATTGGGTAACGATGAAAGAGATAGCATCACTGGAGGTACCGATTGAGCCGGTCTCCGCGTGTATGGGGGGTGGGACAAAGAAGCTATCTGAGGCAGGTTGAGCGGGACTGTGGGGCTTTACAGTGAAATAGTACAATAACAACTAACCCAAACAGCAATAGGCTAGGCATATTGACATGGGAGAGAGGCATAACGCAATCACAGGTGTTATTCAAGAGGGCTAAGACAACAACTGGTAATGGTGACGAAAGTTTGGGCTGAGGCTAAACAGACAAACAGGATGGGGTACCGTGTAAGGGAACAGTCCAGCGGGCATCAGATGTGTAGCTGAGTGATCATAAGGTCCAGTGAACAGCAATAGGTAAGTCCGGGAGCAGTTCGTGTCAACACTAGGAGGTCCCATCCGGTTGACAGAGAGGTGGATAGCCGGGAGATGGGCCTGGCTCGAGGCTAGCTCAAGTATAACTGGTGCTAGCTTTGGGACAAGTAGTGATTAGTGGTGATTAGCCAACAACAACATAAATTCGGTTGCAGCTAGCTAGTTGTGATGATCTGGTGTTAAGGTCCAGTGATTCAGTGATTCCGGCAGAAAATCCGAAATGCTCTGGGTCGATAATTGTCCAGGCTAGAGCTGGCTGGTAGGTAGTGCAGGCCACGGACAGTGGTGAAGACCGCTAACAGTGGCTAATAGCAATAGCTAATAGCAAGTAGCTGGCTAGTTTCAGCCGTGTGTTCTTGATAAAAGGTATGAAGAAATAATAGAATCCGTTCCACATTGGGTGAGGCGGGTTGCAGGAAAGTATATTTAGTTAAGGATGGAAAGTGAGAGAGAAATATATACGAAAAAAAAGTATATTTACACAAGGACGCACTGCTATGCCATCTTGGACTCTCATTGAAAACATGAACACACTTCTAGCTCCATTCGAACAACTGACTTGAGAAATAATCTCATCAACTGCGTCTGCAGCAGACGTGATACCCTCTGTCATGGCATTGAAACGCCTGCTCAACAAAACTGCCGACACAGACCGTGGGGTTAAAACTTGCGAAAGTACTCTACTAGAGGCTGTGAACAAGCGATTCGGTGGCATTCTCTCTGAGCCTCTTTACTGTGTCGCCACCATGCTCGATGCTAGGTACAAGGACCACTACTTTGATGCAGACAAGAAACAGTGTTTACGTGAAATGTTACAGTCACAGCTGGACAAGATGGAAACGGACACAGTGACAGTGCACACCAAGGAAGAGGACCCACGACAGAAGAGGCCACGGACAGACAGAGCTGAAACTTCACTGCTTGACATGTATGATGAAATTCTGGTTGAGAATGGAACGACTGAACAAATGAACAATGAAACAGCACAGCAAGTAAGTGAAATAAATAAGTTTTGATTATGTTTTACTGGTAATGGGGACATACGTAAATGCCAACAAAATAATTTTTGGGTCAGTGTGTGTGTACAGTGGGGGAAAAAAGTATTTAGTCAGCCACCAATTGTGCAAGTTCTCCCACTTAATAAGATGAGAGAGGCCTGTAATTTTCATCATAGGTACACGTCAATTATGACAGACAAATTGAGAAGAAAAAAATCCAGAAAATCACATTGTAGGATTTTTAATGAATTTATTTGCAAATTATGGTGGAAAATAAGTATTTGGTCACCTACAAACAAGCAAGATTTCTGGCTCTCACAGACCTGTAACAACTTCTTTAAGAGACTCCTCTGTCCTCCACTCGTTACCTGTATTAATGGCACCTGTTTGAACTTGTTATCAGTATAAAAGACACCTGTCCACAACCTCAAACAGTCACACTCCAAACTCCACTATGGCCAAGACCAAAGAGCTGTCAAAGGACACCAGAAACAAAATTGTAGACCTGCACCAGGCTGGGAAGACTGAATCTGCAATAGGTAAGCAGCTTGGTTTGAAGAAATCAACTGTGGGAGCAATTATTAGGAAATGGAAGACATACAAGACCACTGATAATCTCCCTCGATCTGGGGCTCCACGCAAGATCTCACCCCGTGGGGTCAAAATGATCACAAGCAAAAATCCCAGAACCACACGGGGGGACCTAGTGAATGACCTGCAGAGAGCTGGGACCAAAGTAACAAAGCCTACCATCAGTAACACACTACGCCGCCAGGGACTCAAATCCTGCAGTGCAAGACGTGTCCCCCTGCTTAAGCCAGTACATGTCCAGGCCCGTCTGACGTTTGCTAGAGTGCATTTGGATGATCCAGAAGAGGATTGGGAGAATGTCATATGGTCAGATGAAACCAAAATAAAACTTTTTGGTAAAAACTCAACTCGTCGTGTTTGGAGGACAAAGAATGCCGAGTTGCATCCAAAGAACACCATACCTACTGTGAAGCATGGGGGTGGAAGCATCATGCTTTGGGGCTGTTTTTCTGCAAAGGGACCAGGACGACTGATCCGTGTAAAGGAAAGAATGAATAGGGCCATGTATCGTGAGATTTTGAGTGAAAACCTCCTTCCATCAGCAAGGGCATTGAAGATGAAACGTGGCTGGGTCTTTCAGCATGACAATGATCCCAAACACACCGCCCGGGCAACGAAGGAGTGGCTTCGTAAGAAGCATTTCAAGGTCCTGGTGTGGCCTAGCCAGTCTCCAGATCTCAACCCCATAGAAAATCTTTGGAGGGAGTTGAAAGTCTGTGTTGCCCAGCGACAGCCCCAAAACATCACTGCTCTAGAGGAGATCTGCATGGAGGAATGGGCCAATATACCAGCAACAGTGTGTGAAAACCTTGTGAAGACTTACAGAAAACGTTTGACCTGTGTCATTGCCAACAAAGCGTATATAACAAAGTATTGCAATATGTTATAATGCAATATGTTGTATTACATTTTAATTTCCTAAATGAAAGATGAGATGTGTTGTGTTGTAAATTTGCTCGCATTTTACTAGTCAAGTCAGTTGAGCACATTTGAAAAGTTTAAGTTGTGCCATTCTTAGCAGTTTATGACATAGCCACGAGCCAGTAATTTTTTCAAGCAGTTAAAGCTAAAATGATTAACTGCATTTTAGTTTAAACCAATATTTATTTCTAAGCATTTTTAAGTTTCTCCATACAGTCAATATTGGATAGTAAGAAGAGCCAACCAACAACCATCTTTGTAATGTGGGGCAGCTAAAATATTTGTGTCATGAATATATGTTGTGCGATAAAATACATTCATGGATTTGTCATTTTTCTCATTTCTCATTCTCAAGTTATTAAACAATCTGTTCCTAACTGAACAAATGAACATATGACACTTTATTTCAACAATTTAACTGTACTAGAATGCTTAAAAAGGCCGCTAAAATGTTAAGTGGTCCTCTGTAGCTCAACTGGTAGAGCACGGCGCTTGTAACGCCAAGGTAGTGGGTTCGATCCCCGGGACCACCCATACACAAAAATGTATGCACGCATGACTGTAAGTCGCTTTGGATAAAAGTGTCTGCTAAATGGCATATTATATTATTATTTATTAAATATCGGTTATCAGCATTTTTTTTTTTTGGCAAAGAAAATATTGGATATCGGTATCGGACAAAAATGCTAGCTAAGTGAAAAATATACTACGAATGATAGCTTTCTCACTTCTCCTTAATTTTGGAATAAATTAATTTGTTGAAATATAAATAGGGCTATGAACAATGAGTCCTAGGTTTTGTATTGAAGTCAATGTACCCAGAGGAGGACAGAAGCTAGCTGTCCTCCGGCTACACCATGATGCTACCCCACACAGTGCTAGAGGCTACTGTAGACCTTTTATTGCAAAACAGTGTTATTTGGTGACGTGAATATATTAGTATAGTTTTATATAAAAAGGATAACTTTTATGAATGTTCCACTATTTTTATTTGTATGAAATTCACCAAGGAGGACGGTCCTCCCCCTCCTCCTCTGAGGAACCTCCACTGTTTGGGATGCTCTGGATCAAAGTGTACGACAGCGTGTTCCAGTTCCCGCCAATATCCAGCAACTTCGCACAGTCATTGAAGAGGAGTGGGACAACATTCCACAATCAACAGCCTGATCAACTCTATGCGAAGGAGATGTGTCACTCAACGTATTTTTGTTCAGTGTACGTTTTTTCCTCATTGGACCTGTGTTTACAATGCATCCAATTTCAGTTTGTGTAGTTGTTGGTTTAGCTTTCTGTAACTGTATTGCAGTTCTGTAAACGGACATGCAGTACGGTCTGCATGTGTAGCAACATATTGCGTCATGATTGCAAGGTGTTCCAATATCTTTTCCAACTGTCCCGTTATCTGGTTTTAATATCCATTCTAGAATTCCCATTCTAGAATGCCCTTCTAGAAAATCAGAACCAAGTATTCAACAATGCTGTGGTATAATTTTTTATAGTATAATCTTTGAGAACTAACAATCACCAAAATAAAAGCTAGACAGTCAGGGAGAATTGAAAATTCCAAAAACAATGAATTTAGCAGTATTTGTTATTATGTTTGAACAAAAGAATAGCATTAGCCATGGCAAAATGCATATAATTGCAGGAAATTAGCTTAGATGGAGAGATGGATGAGAGATTGCTACATGGATGGAGGATAATAAAAACTTTAAAAAACCTTCTTCGTCGATCCACTTCATGGTGAAGAGCTGGTCATTGTCCATGGAGCACATGTCTTTGACCTCCCCGTACAGACCCTCGTAGGAGATGGATGGCTCAAAGTGTGTGATCATGATGTCCCTGGGAGAAGACCGGAGAGAGGGGGGGCGACAGTCAGGGACAATACACTAAGTACACACACTTATTTACAGAATTGTTATTCTGTCAGACTTGGGCCCTGACAGTGAATCTCAGTAAGACAAAAATAAAGGTGTTCCAACAAATGTCCAGTTGCCAGGACAACAAATACTAATTATATCTAGACACTGTTGTCCTAGAGAACACTAATAATTATACCTACCTCAGCCTAAACATCAACACCACAGGTAACTTCCACAAGGCTGTGAACGATCTAATAGACAAGGCAAGAAGGGCGTTCTATGCCATCAAAAAGACCATAAAACTCCACATCCGAATTAGGATCCGGCTAAAAACTCATTGCCCTCTATGGTTGTGAGGTCTGGGGTCCACTCACCAATCAAGAATTCACAAAAAAATTGGACAAACACACAATGGAGGCAGCGCGCAGAATTCTGCAAAAATATACTGTGTGTACAACACAAAATCCCAAACAGAGCAGAAATAGGACTATACCCGCTAGTTACCAAAATCCAGAAAAGAGCTGTTAAATTCTACAACAACTTAAAGAGGGCGATGCCCACATATTCCACCACAAAGCCCAAACCTACAGAGAGATTAACCTAGAGAACAGGACCCTCAGCCAGCTGGTTCTGGGGCTCTGTTCACATACCCAAACAGACCCCACCGAGCCCCAGGACAGCAACACAACTAGACCCAACCAAACTATGACACGGCAAAAAGATAACTATTTGACACACTGGAAAGAATCAACCAAAGAAACTGAGCAAATTTGGAATGCTATCTGGCCCTAAACAGAGAGTAGACATTTGACATTTTAGTCATTTAGCAGAAGCTCTTATCCACAGCGACTTACAGTTAGTGCATTCATCTTAAGATAGCTTGGTGGGACAACCACATATCACAGTAAGTACATTTTTGCTCAAAGTAGCTAATAGCAAGGTCAGAGCTAGTAAGAAGAAGAGAAAGTTGAAAATTAAGGTGCAAGTCTTAATTCACAAAAGGCATTATTTTTTAAATGTTAGTCTTTTTTTGTTTTGTTTTTTTGACCACTGACTGACCCAAAATTAGGGAAGTCCTTATGTACAGACTCCGTGAGCATAGCCTTGCTATACTGCTGCACCACAGAGCATCTTTACTGGTTGCATCACCGCTTGGTATGGCAACTACTTGGCATCAGACCGCAAGGCCCTACAGAGGGTAGAGCGTACAGCCCAGTATATCACTGGGGCCGAGCTCCTTACCATCCAGGACGTCTATACCGGGCGGTGTAAGAGGAAGGCCCTAACAATTGTCAAAGACTCCAGCCACCCAAGTCAGACTGTTCTCTCTGCTACCGCACGGCAAGCAGTACCGATGCACCAAGTCTGGAACCAACAGGACCCTGAACAGCGTCTACCCACAAGCCATAAGACATCTAAATAGTTAGTGTTAGATTAATTTGTATTTTAAGAATAATGACTAAAGGATTTCACCCCAAATACAGTATAAATGTGTGAACTGTGTTAGAATTATAATGTATTGTCAACCTACTAACAGAGGGGGGCGGGACTAAACATTCCAGGGTGAAGGGGACTGAGAAAATGGGTTACAGGGGGCCTCCTAGAGGTGGGCGGAGCAGGGTGCCTTTGTGTGGAAGGAGTATAAAACAGTATGTATGTGTTTTGGGCGGGAGAGCTCTCCATGAATAAAGATACAGATAATCCTTGTGGGTTGTGGACCTTGAATCATTTATGATTAAAACCAGAGCCTTACAACCTCTGGTAATGATTCAAGCTTAGGTTGAATTAGAGATAGAAATTCTCGTAACAGTTAGTTACATAGCAAAATAGCTACCCGGACTATATGCATTCACCCTTTTTGCAACAACTCCTGACTTATCACATACGCTGCTGCTACTGTTTATTGTCCATCCTGTTGCCAAGTCACTTTCTCCCTACCTACAGTGCATTCGGAAAGTATTCAGACGCCTTGACTATTTCCACATTTTGTTACGTTACAGCCTTATTCTAAAATTGATTAAAATGACAAAGTGAAGAGGTTTAGACATTTTTGCTGATTTATTAAAAATAAAACAGAAATACCTTATTTACATAAGTATTCAGACCCTTTGATATGAGACTCGAAATTGAGCTCAGGTGCATCCCGTTTCCATTGATCATCCTTGAGATGTTTCTACAACTTGATTGGAATCCACCTGTTGTAAATTCAATTGATTGGACATGATTTGGAAAGGCACACACGTGTGTGTGTGTGTGTGTGTGTGTGTGTGTGTGTGTGTGTGTGTGTGTGTGTGTGTGTACAAATACAAATTTATATATACACATACATACATATATACACACACACCACACACTACCGTTCAAAAGTTTGGGGTCACTTAGAAATGTCCTTGTTTTCGAAAGAAAAGCAATCTTTTTGTCCATTAAAATAACATCAAATTGATCAGAAATACATTGTAGACATTGTTAATGTTGTAAATGGCTATTGTAGCTGGAAACGGCTGATTTTTAATGGAATATCTACATAGGCGTACAGAGGCCCATTATCAGCAACCATCAGTCCTGTGTTCCAATGGCACGTTGTGTTTGCTAATCCAAGTTTATCATTTTAAAAGGCTAATTGATCATTAGAAACCCCTTTTGCAATTATGTTAGCACAGCTGAAAACTGTTGTGCTGATTAAAGAAGCGATAAAACTGGCCTTCTTGAGACTAGTTGAGTATCTGGAGCATCAGAAATTGTGAGTTCAATTACAGGCTCAAAATGGCCAGAAACAAATAACTTTCTTCTGAAACTCGTCAGTCTATTCTTGTTCTGTGAAATGAAGGCTTTTCCATGCGAGAAAATGCCAAGAAACTGAAGATCTCGTACAACGCTGTGTACTACTCCCTTCACAGAACAGCGCAAACTGGCTCTAACCAGAATAGAAAGAGGAGTGGGAGGCCCCGGTGCACAACTGAGCAAGAGGACAAATACATTAGTGTCTAGTTTGAGAAACAGACGCCTCACAGGTCCTCAACTGGCAGCTTCATTAAAATAGTACCCGCAAAACACCAGTATCAACGTCAACAGTGAAGAGGCGACTTCGGGATGCTGACCTTCTAGGCAGAGTAGCAAAGAAAAAGCCATATCTCAGACTGGCCAATAAAAATAAAAGATTAAGATGGGCAAAAGAGCACAGATACTGGACAGAGGAAGATTGGAAAAAAGTGTTATGGACAGACAAATCAAAGTTTGAGGTGTTCGGATCACAAAGAAGAACATTTGTGAGACGCAGACCAAATGAAAAGATGCTGGAGGAGTACTTGATGCCATCTGTCAAGCATGGTGGAGGCAATGTGATGGTCTGGGGGTGCTTTGGTGGTGGTAAAGTGGGATATTTGTACAGGGTAAAAGGGATCTTGAAGAAGGAAGGCTATCACTCCATTTTGCAAGGCCATGCCATATCCTGTGGACGGCGCTTGATTGGAGCCAATTTCCTCCTACAACAGGACAATGAACCAAACCACAGCTCCGAACTATGCAATAACTATTTAGGGAAGAAGCAGTCAGCTGGTATTCTGTCTATAATGGAGTGGCCAGCACAGTCACCGGATCTCAACCCTATTGAGCTGTTGTGGGAGCAGCTTGACCGTAAGAAGTGCCCATCAAGCCAATCCAACTTGTGGGAGGTGCTTCAGGAAGCATGGGGTGAAATCTCTTCAGATTACCTCAACAAATTGACAACTAGAATGCCAAAGGTCTGCAAGGCTGTAATTGCTGCAAATGGAGGATTCTTTGACGATAGCAAAGTTTTAAGGACACAATTATTATTTCAATTAAAAAAATGTATTTCTAACCTTGTCAATGACTACATTTCCTATTCATTTTGCTATATTTCCTATTCAAACTCATTTCATGTATGTTGTCATGGAAATCAAGGAAATGTCTAAGTGACCCCAAACTTTTGAACGATAGTGTATATATACATACAGTGCGTTCGGAAAGTATTCAGACTCCTTGACTTTTTCCACATTTTGTTACATTACAGCCTTGTTCTAAAATTGATTAAAATTGTCGTCCCCCCCTCATCAATCTACACAATACTCCATAATGACAAAGTAAAAACAGGTTGACATTTTTGCAAATTTATTTAAAATAAAAAACGGAAATATCACATTTACGTAAGTATTCAGACCCTTTATTCAGTACTTTGTTGAAGCACCTTTGGCAGCGATTACAGCCTCGAATCTTCTAGGGTGTGACGCTACAGGTTGGTACGTGTGATTAGGGTCATTGTCCTGTTGGAAGGTGAACCTAAGCCTCAGTCTGAGGTCCTGAGCACTCTGGAGCAGGTTTTCATTAAGGATCTCTCTGTACTTTGCTCCATTCATCTTTCCCTCGATCCTGACTCTCAGACCCTGGCGCTGAAAAACAGCATGATGCTGCCACCCCATGCTTCACCGTAGGGATGGTGCCAAGTTTCCTCCAGACGTGACGCTTGGCATTCAGGCCAAAGAGTTCAATCTTGGTTTCATCAGACCAGAGAATCTTGTTTCTCGTGGTCTGAGAGTCTTTAGGTGCCTTTTGGCAAACTCCAAGCGGGCTGTCATGTGCCTTTTACTGAGGAGTGTGTTCCGTCTGGCCACTCTACCATAAAGGCCTGATTGGTGGAGTGCTGCAGAGATGGTTGTCCTTCTGGAAGATTCTCCCATCTCCACAGAGGAACTCTGGAGCTCGGTCAGAGTGACAATCGGGTTCTTGGTCACCTCCCTGACCAAGGCCCTTCTCCCCCGATTGCTCAGTTTGGCCGGGCGGCCAGCTCTAGGAAGAGTCTAGGTGGTTCCAAACATCTTCCATTTAAGAATGATGGGGACCTTCAATGCTGCAGACATTTTTTGGTACCCTTCCCCAGATCTGTGCCTCGACACAATCCTGTCTCGGAGCTCTACGGACAATTCCTTCAACCTCATGATTGGTTTTTGCTCTGACATGCACTGTCAACTGTGCCTTTCCAAATCATGCCCAATCAATTGAATTCACCACAGGTGGACTCCAATCAAGATGTAGAAACATCAAGGATGATCAATGGAAACAGGATGCACCTGAGCTCAATTTCAAGTCGCATAGCAAAGGGTCTGAATACTTATGTAAATAAGGTATTTGTTTCTTATTTTTAATACCTTTGCAAAAATGTCTAAAAACCTGTTTTCCCTTTGTCATTATGGGGTATTGTGTGTAGATGTGGAAAAATCATCAAATGTGAATACTTTTCCCGAATGCACTGTAGGTGCGAAGATGCATTCAAAATCCAAGTCCAGGCACTCGTGTGGGTTTGAAAGTTAAAAAGCCTTTAATGTGTGGCCAATAACCAATTGGCTTACACCTTCATCCTTATGCTTTCAATATATTACTGTGTGTTCTATTACATTCTGATGGAGTGTGAGCCCATAGTACTTTCAAATAGAGCTGGGACGATAAACTGAAAATTACCCACACTGCCCTCTTCCCCAAGCAATTTTGCTAACGTTGGTCATTTCGGAGATTAGGCAACAATGTTTTTTGGCTCTAAAACCAATTTTTGGTCAACAGTACTGTGCATGAACATGCCATGAAATAATCCCATAGAAAATCTGTGGAGGGAGCTGAAGGTTCGAGTTGCCAAACGTCAGCTTCGAAACCTTAATGACTTGGAGAAGATCTGCAAAGAGGAGTGGGACAAAATCCCTCCTGAGATGTGTGCAAACCTGGTGGCCAACTACAAGAAACGTCTGACCTATGTGATTGCCAACAAGGGTTTTGCCACCAAGTACTAAGTCATGTTTTGCAGAGGGGTCAAATACTTATTTCCCTCATTAAAATGCAAATTAATTTATAACATTTTTGACATGCGTTTTTTCTGGATCTTTTTGTTGTTATTCTGTCTCTCACTGTTCAAATAAACCTACCATTAAAATTAGACTGATCATGTCTTTGTCAGTGGGCAAACGTAGAAAATCAGCAGGGGATCAAATACTTTTTTCCCCTCACTGTATCTGGGCCTACAAATGGAACGTTTTTGAATGACATTACATTTACTGTAAGTCCAATAGCATGGCCATCTAGCAACAATATCACATTTACAGTTCGCAATCTAGCTAATGTGTTTTGAGTTCCCACTTCCTTAGATGGTAAATCTAGCATATAGCCTAGGCCAGGGTTGCCCAACTGGTGAGCTCATCATGTTTTTTGTTTGTTATCGTTTTTATAAAATGGAAATACCAGTCGATGTAAATACATTTGACTGGTAATGTTTATCGGTCTAATTTGCATAATTTCGTGGAATTAGCGTGTATACAGTATATACGTTATGTATCTTATTTACCACACTTTTTTTATGTAGCCTACTGGTTGTATGAATTTGGGATCTATCGTCCCACAACTGTCCCAGAATCTGTTTGGAATAGGCTATTTCTTTCACGATAAACTGACCAATAGAATAGGTCAACTTTTCTACTAAGGGGGATAGTAGATTGACATAGGATAGTGATTTTGCTGTTCGTTACTCATCTTGTTGGCTGACGAAAAGTAAACGTGGACAGTTATTCTAAAATCACATTTACATAAAATCTTCAAAGTGCACATCTGAATTCATTGTTACATCCTCAACCTGCATGTTCTGTTAACATGAATTACCATAATCTATGATTTCTGTCATTCTGAGCACCGTGAGTGGACACCATAATCAGGTTAAGTACCAAATGCATATGGGTCCGGTAAATTAAAACGCTGCCGGTGAAATTTCCGGCGCCACATTTTCCTAATGGAAACCCTATTCTTGCAGTCAATTTGCAGTCAAAAATTATTTGTAATTATGCACGCAGCTGAATATAGTTGATGATCCCTGGCCTAGGCCAATATGCACAAAAACATGCAGGCAATTTAATTTCTAAAGAGACAAATTAAGATATGATTATTCTGGATCCTATTTTGACATGTTGCACATAAAAATATCCATCATGCATTCCCTGGACATGTTAGATGAACTAGCTAACTTCTTTCACGTCTTATTTGGCACTGGAAAAAGTCAGTCTAGAGCCCTCCGGCTAATGGAAAGGAACTGTGCTTAATTGCATTTTTTTATTTTTTTATTGTTGCATTTATCGTTAGAGCAAAATTCGTCCATTTATTTTACGATATGACTTTTTGTCCATATTGTCCAGCTCTACTTTCACATCACATGTCAGTCAGGTAAGCAGGAGCTGAAGGTAGTAGAAGTAGGTCTATCTGAACACTGCATGCTACTGCCATATGTGTGGCAATAAAGAATATGGCAGTGTACAACAGCGTGTGCAGATATTTCTACTCTTTAAATTGTTGTATAGGCCTACATTACTTTGAAGTTCATAGGCTACTGTAAGTGAGCATCATTCTAGCCTTGGAATGACAGAGGTTCTGAGCTGGCAGAAAATTGGCTGGTATAGGCCGTCTCATAATCCCTCCCCCGCCTCCCTCTCTCGCTTCCTCCTTCATATTCTCTCCTTCTGCCTCCCTCTCTTGATTCCCTCTCTTTTTCTCTTCCTTAGTCACATTTTCGCTCCTCTCGCTTCCTCCCTCGCACTCTCTTCTACCTCTTCCTCCCCCTCCATACAGTTTGTGTTAATTAGTGACAGCACAGGAGGAGTGTTGACCCTCATTCTGGTAGCTACACTCCCACCTCTACAGGCCCCCACGTCCTTCTTAGCACCATGGCTGGTAGGAGCAGGAACAGACACAGACACGTGTTTTCTCTCAAATGACACCCCATTCATTCAGCCACACAGTACTGTTACTACACTAGCAGAGCCAGTATCAATGCCAGTGCACTGCTCCATCTACGTGACGTCCAGCCAGGTAACTGGGCCTGGGCAGTAGCTGTTCATTAAAGTCGAACTGACCGTGTTTTAGCAACATGAAATCTTATTATAATCTGTTCATATACACCCCCAGAATGACACTTTTTAAAACATTTTCTGACAAGCAAGCACTTAGATATGGTCATTTTCACGTTTTCATAAATTAATAGAACGTTTGGGAATAACGTATAGTATGGCATTTGTGATAATTCTATAGCGGGCGTGCATTTGGACAACTAATAGAGACACTGAAGTAAATAAAACCTAATAAAAACATGTCATTACCACGACCGGAGTCTACGCAGACCGGTGCGCCATAGCCAATCAGAGCTACAGTAGGCCTATATGCAAATAAGCCATTTGCCACACGGGTCTGCCATCATTCACTTTGAACTGGGCACTTTGAACTGGACATCTTTAGAACGCATTCACCAAAAGCCACAAAATACACCTGAATGGATTTTTGCAAATATGTAAATACCACGGGAGGCCTCTTACATTTGGGAACTTCACAGTCCTATTGATCAAACAACCATGAAAAGGTAGGCTCTCTCTCCCTCAGTTGCGTATGCACACCTACAAGATCAACAACTAATGCTAGCCAGAGAGAGATAAGCTAAAACCTAACGAGGGAACATTAGATAAACCCTCAAGAAAGTTGGCTGTCAAAATTGCACTGAAACGATGGGAAATAGTAGCCTGCTTGTCCCTCTATAGCTTGCCTGCCTATGCATGCTTGTCCCAACCCACGTTTTGACAACTGAATGGGAACTTGCCTGCCCGCCCTTTTGATCGATGCCAAATACATTAGATTGACAATGAAGCGATATGCTAACTGTGGCTAACAGTTGTTCAAGTTCAGCATAGCTAGCTAGCAAAGTGATTCACATTTCTTGCTAGCTAACCAAATGACACCTGCATCACTAGCTGTAGCTACGAAAAACGGATATCAGGGGGAAAGGTTTGTCCCCCACTGCGCTAACGACATGACATCCTCCCAGTAGCTAGCTAACGTTAGGCTCCGTGTTTTTAGCTTGCTAAATAAATAACTACATAAATAGATACGATAGCCCAGGGGTGTCAAACTCCAAAATCAGCCCCCAGGCCATATAAAAAATAACAATATAATAAATGAGGGCCAGACATAGCCTATTTGTTTTTACAAAAAAACGTGTAACTGCGATCCAAACTGGCCATTCTTGTATTACAAAAAATATGGTCCTTTATAACTTTTGTACACTTATGTACAAAGGATGCTGTATAGTATTTTAAGATATTAAAACCAAATATAAATAATATATTTGTCCAGCCTTTGCTGCTATGCTTGCAGATGTGCATAATATGCTGTGAACCTAATCAAAAAGTGTTTAATAACTCCAAATAACAAAAACTTAGCTATAGGTTTGTTGTAACATTTAACATTTTTTTTGCACTGCATGGATCACCGGTGCAGTTGAATGCAGCATTGCTGTATGGCACACTCAAAATGTATTGGAGTAGCCAGCTTTGTCTACTGCTCAAATGTTGCTGTAATAGGCCTACATGTTTCTCATTTGCATGGTGTTTTGTTGCAGGTTTTGCTTTGGTTATTCATTGTCAAGCTTTAAAAACCGAAGCCAGACTGCAAAATTTTAGTAGCCTAGCTAGGACTGTAAACATTACACACGAAAGCAGCGCAATTGAAGTTGAATTCGCCAATGAGAGCGCATCAGGCTGTAATTTCATAAAGTATTTGACTCAACTGTTTATACTCGCTTGTGGGTCCTATTCAGCCCGCGGGCCTTGTGTTTGACACATGCGCTAGCCTATTAGCCACGTTATGATTGACTTGTGATCATTGCCCTTGCTAGTTTGATTGTATTGGCATTCCCAGCCTCAGCTCCAGTCGTCCATTTTTGTTCAAAATATTAAGTCATTGAAACTGAAACAGTGCATACCGAATGGGTGGAGGCAGAAAACAATGTACCAGGCCAGCTATAATTTACAATCTAATAGCAATATTTTTGGGACTATCAAGAAATGAATTGGTAAATTATATTAATCATGCGTTAAACTGCATCCATCTAGTCTGCCAACAATGCCTGGAATTTTTTGTCAAATAGAACCCATTTTTAAATCCTCTTATAAAGGCGGTTTTGAAGTATAAACTGGACATTTTATATTTTTGACTGTTCCATATCGGCAAAGTAGTTCAAACGATGTCAGTTCCACTTTAAACACCTAGCTACTACACTGTGGTTAAAGTTTACCCAGCTAGCAGAAGCACTCTAACAAAGAAACTGCTGTTACTCCCCTACACAGAGCAGGTCTGTAGGCGCTAAAGTCTCACAAAACTAATGGATATTGACATGGATGGACAGTAAAGAAACTAAAACAACCTCTAAGCCTAAATGAAACTGTTGACCTGCCTTGGGGCTGTGCCTGTGCTGTGGGGATAGCTACATTACAGTGACAATCACAGATTGTGTAATAGTTGCTCATCACTGGTGAGTAACAGAAGAAATGCCATTCTACAGTGAGGGAAAAAAGTATTTTATCCCCTGCTGATTTTGTACGTTTGCTATAATTTTAATGGTAGGTTTATTTGAACAGTGACAGACAGAATAACAACAACAAAAATCCAGAAAAACGCATGTCAAAAATGTTATAAATTGATTAGCATTTTAATTAGGGAAATAAGTATTTGACCCCCTCTCAATCAGAAAGATTTCTGGCTCCCAGGTGTCTTTTATACAGGTAACGAGCTGAGATTAGGAGCACACTCTTAAAGGGAGTGCTCCTAATCTCAGTTTGTTAACTGTATAAAAGACACGTGTCAACAGAAGGAATAAATAAATTAGATTCCAAACTCTCCACCATGGCCAAGACCAAAGAGCTCTCCAAGGATGTCAGGGACAAGATTGTAGACCTACACAAGGCTGGAATGGGCTACAAGACCATCGCCAAGCAGCTTGGTGAGAAGGTGACAACAGAACTGTCAATCTCCCTCGGCCTGGGGCTCCATGCAAGATCTCACCTCGTGGAGTTGCAATGATCATGAGAACGGTGAGGAATCAGCCCAGAACTACACGGGAGGATCTTGTCAATGATCTCAAGGCAGCTGGGACCATAGTCACCAAGAAAACAATTGGTAACACACTACGCCGTGAAGGACTGACATCCTGCAGCGCCCGCAAGGTCCCCCTGCTCAAGAAAGCACATATACAGGGCTGTCTGAAGTTTGCCAATGAACATCTGAATGATTCAGAGGAGAACTGGGTGAAAGTGTTGTGGTCAGATGAGACCAAAATCGAGCTCTTTGGCATCAACTCAACTCGCCGTGTTTGGAGGAGGAGGAATGCTGCCTATGACCCCAAGAACACCATCCCCACCGTCAAACATGGAGGTGGAAACATTATGCTTTGGGGGTGTTTTTCTGCTAAGGGGACAGGACAACTTCACCGCATCAAAGGGACGATGGACGGGGCCATGTACCGTCAAATCTTGGGTGAGAACCTCCTTCCCTCAGCCAGGGCATTGAAAATGGGTCGTGGATGGGTATTCCAGCATGACAATGACCCAAAACACACGGCCAAGGCAACAAAGGAGTAGCTCAAGAAGAAGCACATTAAGGTCCTGGAGTGGCCTAGCCAGTCTCCAGACCTTAATCCCATAGAAAATCTGTGGAGGGAGCTGAAAGTTCGAGTTGCCAAACGTCAGCCTCGAAACCTTAATGACTTGGAGAAGATCTGCAAAGTGGATTGGAACAAAATCCCTCCTGAGATGTGTGCAAACCTGCTGGCCAACTACAAGAAACGTCTGACCTCTGATTGCCAACAAGGGTTTTGCCACCAAGTACTAAGTCATGTTTTGCAGAGGGGTCAAATACTTATTTCCCTCATTAAAATGCAAATCAATTTATACAATTTTTGACATGCGTTTTTCTGGATTTTTTTGTTGTTATTCTGTCTCTCACCTACCATTAAAATGATAGGCTGATCATGTCTTTGTCAGTGGGCAAATGTACAAAATCAGCAGGGGATCAAATACTTTTTTCCCCTCACTGTATGATTCCACTCCACTCTTCTTGTGCAAAGGAAGTTGGTATAGGCCTACTACTACTACTGTCGCCTTGTAACAGTCAGTCCAACCAAGCTGTATGAACAAAATAAGACTATACACAGTGTACAAAACATTAGGAACACTTTCCTAATATTGAGTTTCCCCCCCTCCTTTTGCCCTCAATTCATCGGTGCATGGACTCTACAAGGTGTCGAAAGCATTCCACAGGGATGCTGGCACATGTTGACTCCAATGCTTCTCTCGTGTCAAATTGGCTGAATGTTCTTTGGGTTGTGGACCATTCTTGATACACACGTGAAATGGTTGAGCGTGAAAAACCCCAGCAGCGTTGCAGTTCTTCACACAAACCGGTGCACCTTGTACCTACTACCATAACCCGTTCAAAGGCACTTAAATATTTTCTCTTGCCCATTCAACCTCTGAATGAATACACAATCCATGTCTCAATTGTCTCAAGGCTTAAATCCTTCTTTAATATGTCTCCCCCCTTCATCTACACGGATTGAAGTGGATTTAACAGGTGACATCAATAAGGGATCATAGCTTTCACCTGGTCAGTCTATGTCATGGAAAGAGCGAGTGTTTCTAATGTTTTGTACACTCAGTGTACATGTGAGAGGTATAATATTCAGACACTCTTGGAGAAGGACATTGAGAGAATGTATTTTCTTTGTAGTTTCTGAGCAGTGTTTCTGCATTAGCCTTCATAGGGGTACTTCATTAGTTACCTATGACAAAAGTCATTACTAGGAAGAGTGGGATTCAGCCCCTTGCCCCTGTCGCCACCACCCTCTAAAACCCCAGCGGCAGCCCCATCTGCTGCTGAGCAGGTAGGTCATCGGTCACTGGTGAGCACCCAAGCAGGGAGACTGTTGATCAGTGTGCCCCTCTCCCCAGGCATCCATCTCTCTGTCACCACTGGGGGCATGTACCCTCAATCTCCATTGCAGCTATAACCACCCTGCTCTTCTGCACCTCTACAGTCCCTGTAGAGGTACTCCACCCACACCCACCAGTTTCACCTATATGTATTTAGCAGTGATGCACCGCAAAAAAACAAAATATTTTAAAATAACAATTTTAAACATAAGAATGTAGAACATATCATATATTTTTTAATAAGAGCATCTTTGAGAACTAACAATCACCACAATAAAAACTAGGCAGTCAGGGAAAATCAAAAATTCATTATGAGATTATTATGGATAAGAGCGAGAAGATTTATTGGAAAGGAGCATCAAGCTCATAACCCTGCACTTTTACCACCCTGTGAAGTTCATCATAACTTCTCATCTGTAGCCTAATTAACTGCATGCTTTCCCGACGAGTCGTAGTAGGAGGACCACAACACATGTCTTCGCGTGACTCCACGTTTACTTCCATATGATAGTTATTATATCAACATTTGCACATAAGTGTTTCCACCGACGTTTCTCACAATTAATTTAACATACAAAAAGATCTAGCGTATTTTGTTTTGTCGACATTTGGAAATGTTACTGATAAATGTTCTGTTTCCATCAGACCTGTCATGACATTTTTTTTATCCAACATGTACTTTATGCACATAGAAAGGTCAGATGGAAACCTGGTTAATGTTAGAAAAAGGTTCGGTCCAAATCCGATGTTAGGTACTATATTTATTGAATATTAAAAATTGACAATTTGGGTGCAATCAATTAACTTAATTTCTCAGAGATCAAATTATATTTCAAAAATAATGTTGCAGGAATGCTAATGTTATGTTTCTAACAGAAACAATTTCAGAACAAATCAGATGGTTGGTGTCAAAAACCTCTTTCTTGTGCTTTTTGAGGTGGAACGACCCAGCTGCTGTAAATCTCAATTTGCCTACTCAGGAGCCTAGTGTTTCATTAACTATCTCTGTCAGTGATTTCAATTTTACAATCATGTTTTGGCATGATTATATGTCTCATTTCAAGTAACTAGCTGCAGGATTAAAGAAACATTCAATCATATAGCCTACTTCACATAGAAACCCAAATAGTATATAGATAGAAAGATGTGTGAGTGTCATGTATGCTAGAATGGAGGTTTAAAAATTACAGCTGCATATGCATATTAGCCGAGACAGCATATCCTACACATGACATACATTGCAATACAATTTTCTCTAAAAACAGCTGGGCAAAATGTATACGATGTGCTCTGCAATAAGATGACCAGAGTTTGATTTCTAAACAAGATGAGTTCTCAAAATGTCAGCAGCTGCCTAATACCCTGGTGGTCATGCATAATGAATATAAGGTATGGAGAACGATAGAGTCAGCAGGATTATAGAACAAGTTCAGAAATGAATGTTTGAGTTTCAAATACTAAATGTTCAGTGAACGTGAATACATTTAGGTGGTTTAAATGATTAGCCTCACCTAAAAGTTGACGGTGCCAAATTCTTGGCAATCCATTATTCTACTACTAACCATGACTGAGTGAGGCTTTCCATAATGTACATTTCATTCATTCGAACAAAGAACACCCATCACATTTAGTGTTTCACCATTTATTGAGTACGGAGACAAATAGCAAAAGGTGTCTCAGGCAGTATTTTAAGTATCTAAATATAGCGTAAACTACCAATCAATGCATATAGAAAGAGAAGTGCTGTGGAGGGCATAATCTTACAATGTTGTAGTCCAGAAATGAGAGCTTTACCATCTATGCCAAAAGCCTGAGCCTCTGACGGAGACAGTAGAACTGACAAAACTTGGAAAGATAGTAAATTCATGTTGAGCTTCCTTGACATCTTAGCTGCCGCACATTTAGAATTTGCCGGAACGAGTCGTTTCTATGCGACACGGCAACGTGTAGAAGCAGATAACAGCGCGTCATACAGTGCTACCAAAACAAAGATCTCCACACATGCAAGAGGCATATCTCACTCGATACAAAACACTGAGTTTTCAGATTTCTCTCTGGGGTTTGTAGAACCACCTGCAACTGGACACCGACATTTATAAAGATAGCTGTTTTCCAGAATCGAAAACGAAGAGATTCTCGCCAATACCAGGTTAGTTGAAGAATCTATCGTGCCGTTTTGTATAGGTGAACCTGTAACATCCAGTAATGGATACCAAAAAACGTTGGTTACATCACATTATCTGTTGTATAATCTGTAGCTAAGTCCAACTAGGCCTATTGACAGGGATAATTTGGCATTTCTTGTTTGTCAGTATGAATGAAATTAGTGAGTCCTGCCTTAATGACTGTGTTAGCTTCATAATACTTGTCCTATAGATTTTTGTAGTTTTAAAGTATTACTTGGAGTTGAAATAATGATAGCTAGAGCTCCCTGTCCCGGAATGACATGCTAGTGATAAAGCCATCTGCTCCTGCTAGCTAGTAACAGGTCTGTTCCTTGTAGCTGGCTATTTAAATTGCTACGGTTGCTGCGTTCTAAGTAAAGTTGGGAGTTATTTTACAGCTTGCATTGATAGTATTATGTTTCTATAGCTAAATAGCTAGATTACAAATATAAAAAAAGACTTTACCCATGGCAGTGGTCGAACGGAGGTCTCTCTCCAGCTGTCACACGCTGTGTTTAGTACCTTAGCTACGGAGAACGTGATTGGTAGACGTGATCAGCAGAGTTGGTACCTGGATAGTTTTGATTGGTTTGCTGTTTTGACACTGCCAACAAACGGAAATGTGTTCAGAATAAATATACACCTTAAACATTAAGAACACCTGCTCTTTCCATGACGGACTGACCAGGTGAATACAAGTGAAAGCTATATGATCCCTTATTTACATTTTAGTCATTTAGCAGACGCTCTTATCCAGAGCGACTTACAGTTATAATAATAATAATAATAATAAGCCATTTAGCAGACGCTTTTATCCAAAGCGACTTACAGTCATGCGTACATAAATGTTTTGTGTATGGGTGGTCCCGGGGATCGAACCCACTACCCTGGCGTTACAAGCGCTGTGCTCTACCAGCTGAGCTACAGAGGACCACAGTTAGTGAATACATTCTTTTTTATACTGGCCCCCCGTGGGAATCGAACCCACAACCCTGGCATTGCAAACGCCATGCTCTATCAACTGAGCTACATCCCTGCCGGCCATTCCCTCCCCTACCCTGGACGACGCTGGGCCAATTGTGCGCTGCCCATGAGTCTCCCGGTCGCGGCCGGCTGCGACAGAGCCTGGATTCGAACCAGGATCTCTAGTGGCACAGTTAGCACTGCGATGCAGTGCCTTAGACCACTGCGCCACTCAGGAGACAAACCCACTTCAAATCAGTGTAGATGAAGGGGAGGAGACAGGTTAAAGAATGATTTTAAGCCTTGAGACATGGATTGGGTATGTGTGCCAACTCAATACTAGGAAGGTGTTCCTAATGTTTGGTATACTCCGTGTATATGAATGTCATTCTCTTTATGGTGATGTATCCTAAATAGGTACACAAAGGCAGAAATATGCAATATCCTCCTTTGCATATTTGGATATTGTTTTAATGAGCAAACAAGACCAAATTTGGTTGGTCCGGACCAAAACTGAACCAATCACAGACATCTATGTTTAACAACATTAGACATCAACGCACAGCAAACTCAGTAGAATTACAGTGTACTAAACTGTAGTGTGCTCTACTGTGGACTGTACTATACTTTTCTTTACCGTACTCTACAGAAGAACCGGACAGGGGAAGGAAAGAAAGAAAAAAGATACCAAGAAAAAAAAGACAGCAATAGAGTCCAGACTTCACACACTCTTGCTTTGACCACCAGACGACAGAAAGAAAACAGTTATCAGCTGAAAATAACAGTATGCCAGTGGAAGGGAGGACAGTAGCAGGTGACCAAACTGTGATTTCTGACTACTATGATTAAGGCTTTTGCTGGTAGATGTTTTCTAAGACCTTTCAGGTTATGTCATTATAGGACTCGTTTTACTGTGGCTATAGATACGTTTGTACCGGATTCCTCCAGCATCTTCACAAGGTCCTTTGCTGTTGTTCTGGGATTGATTTGCACTTTTCGCACCAAAGTACATTTATCTCTAGGAGACAGAACGTGTCTCCTTCCTGAGCGGTATGACGGCTGCGTGGTCCCATAGTGTTTATACTTGCGTACTATTGTATGTACAGATGAACGTGGTACATTCAGGCGTTTGGAAATTGCTCTCAAGGATGAACCAGACTTGTGGAGGTCTACAATTTTTTTTCTGAGGTCTTGGCTGATTTCTTTTGATTTTCCCATGATGTCAAGCAAAGAGGCACTGAGTTTGAAGGTAGGCCTTGAAATACATCCACATTTCCAATTTACTCAAATTATGTCAATTAGCCTATCAGAAGCTTCTAAAGCCGTGACATCATTTTCTGGTATTTTCCAAGCTGTTTAAAAGGCACAGTCAACTTAGTGTATGTAAACTTGTGACCCACTGGAATTGTGATACAGTGAATTATAAGTGAAATAATCTGTCTGTAAACAATTGTTGGAAAAATTACTTGTGTCATGCACAAAATAGGTGTCCTAACCGACTTGCCAAAACTATAGTTTGTTAACAAGACATTTGTGGAGTGGTTTAAAAACAAGTTTTAATAACTCCAACCTAAGTGTATGTAAACTTCCGACTTCAACTGTATATGTATGTATGTATGTATGTATGTATGTATGTATGTATGTATATATATATATATATATATATATATATGACTTAGCTCCTATGAACTTCACGTTGGTGCTCATGGGTCCTTTTACATGGAAATTACCTTAGGATTCTACGGTACATTTGTATACTTTTCAGCCAGTAGTTCTGAAAGTAGCACTCACGAGCCAAAAGTGGTTCCTCAAAATTGCGTACTACATCACATACGTATATATAGTGTATGTGGACACCCCTTCAAATTAGTGGATTCGGCCATTTCAGCCACACCCGTTGCTGACAATCTCCATAGAGAAACATTTGCAGTAGAATGGCACAGTCATAGGATGCCACCTTTCCAATAAGTCAGTTCGTCAAATGT